TTTTTTACTCAGGAAAGAAAAAAAAAGGTACCTATTTCCTTACAGTTGAATGCAGGCTTCTCTATTTCAGTGTTGCTTTCTTCTGATTGACGTAAGCAAGCAAATGTCATCAGTAGAAACTTGTGCGCATGTGTGTGTGTGTTAAAGAGAGAGACAGACAGCGAGAGACACAGACTGACTCACCCTGAACTTAAGCCAGGCAGGGTCTTTTGTAATTTAGTCACCTGTTCTGCTACTGGAGCTAGGTTCTCTGGCCCCAAATGCACAAACTTTTTACACTATTAAAACATGTATATCCTTTGAAACAAGGCAAAACCAAAAACAGCACACGCTTTTATGAGTCGATTCTCTGGCAGTAATCAGGGTTAGCAGTCAACAAGCCTCAGCACTTTTGGTCTCCAACATGATTACTAAATTCATGTTGCAGATGGGAGAGTTCCGGGTGTAAACTCACCAGCACAAGAAGAAACCTTTACAAGGCAAATTTAAGAAAAAAAAAAAAAGTCAAGATTAAAAAAAAAAAAACTCACAGTACAATTAATATTACTGCAGCATCCAGCATCTCTAGAGCCTCCCTTTTCTAAAAATCACCTTTCCCCACTGTCTTTTAGATGCCTCTGACTTCTCAGTTTCTGGAGAGGGAGGGAGGGGGAGAGAGAGAGAGCGTGTGAGTGCCAGAGAGAGCACCCCCTTCTCTTCTTTTTGGGTATTTGCAATGGTGGGAAAAACTAGGAGCAATCTACAGGTTTTTGTTTTAAGAGACAACCCCTCAAAGGGTAAGACAATCTCATTAAACAGGAAAGTGTTTAATTTTATTAACGAGAACATAGTTTCAAACATGTTTGTATTCAAGATGTCTTGATTTGCTGGCATGGAGTTCAATGGTAGAGCACTTGCCCTGGAGTGCATGAGGCCCTAAGCTCAATTCCCAGCACAAAAACCAAAAGCCAGCTTCAGTGTTGTTGGCCGACCTAGGAATAAGCTATTTCCAGATTTTGACTCATGACACTGGTATGCCAACAGGAAATGCTCGAGTGCAGCGTAAGAGGAAAGGAAGAGTTATTTAATATCAAAACGCTGGAAATTTTGTAGTGGATATAAACAACCTAGACTGATGAGGAGGGCAGACAACATTAAGATGCCTGTCTCTAATAGAACAGACTACAGACAGAAGACACAGTACAAGAACAAAAGTAGGTTTCTCGCCACTGCTTTGACAACACAGCTGCTGAGCTCACCACTGTCAGTTCAGTCTGAGCAGACATCCCTGTGCTCATGTCCTCAGCATGTATTAAGGTTGTCTTTTACTCACTAGTTTGTTCTCACAATATTTAATTAAGTTCCAAGTAGATACAATTCAGGTTTTAATAGCCCTATAGGTGAGATATTTGAGACAATGGACACCTACAATTTCATCTTCGGACCTAAACATCTGCCTGTGAGCCTGTGGTAAAGCCTCAGATACATAAAGGCGTACTTTGAATGGTTTTAAAAGTTCGCTTTTGTCTTCATTCGGACATTTTGTGGTGGTACAATTATAATTCAGAAGGATATTAAGACAATGGTTTGTAAACTATATAATGTATGATACAGATACTTGTTGGGAAGCTGGTGATCATTTTTAGCCATCATAATTTTCTTTCTCATCTCATCAAACCAAAGTTTAACATCCTAAATTCACATGTCAGACTTAGTAATAACTTCTTAATAATTATAAAAAGAAATGCTTTCCCTCCAAATAACATACAGATTATATGCTTAGTTAATACCCATCAAAAGTCAATTAGAAATTAGTTTTGGCCTAGTCTTTTATCAGATAAATGTGTAATAATGACGTAGTATTTGTTGACTATAACATTTAATAAGATATTCTCTGAGTATGTCTCTTGGCCTAAATATTTGTTAATTAGGCTCCTTTGTGCTCCAATACTCACTCTACTCTTTACAATGGGTTTACTTGTCTTAATTGCCATTTACTTTTTCAATTTCTATTTTCTTTTACATACTACATTCAGACTTAACCTTGCAGTACATTACTAAAATTATAACAGAAAAATACTGAAGAGACACAAAAAGCAAATATTGCTATGTCTAGTTTTAAGTATGTGTATATATACTATATATATATATATATACACACGGAGTGAGAAATATACACATATACATATTTAAATTTATATACACATATAAGTCATAAGCATTTACAGACACCCCCCCCTTTTTCAAACTTCATATACAAGCCATAATTAGGTTCAGGGCTCTCATTTCTCAAACCAAGGTCCCTGTTCTATTACTTTAGTGTAACTGGAAGAATCTACCTATATTCATATTTTATAACATTAAATAGAGAATTTAGGGTTCTGTTTTTTTTTTTTTTACTCAAAATGGTAACATAAATCAGACTGATGAAAAGTTGTCTTTTTCCTGTTTTTTTTTGAAGACAGGTTTCTTTGTGTAATTCTCGCTGTCCTGAAACTCACTCTGGAGACCAGGCTGGCCCAGAACTCACAGAGATTTGCCTGCTTCTGCCTCCCAAGTGTGGGGAGTAAAGGTGTGCACCACTACACCTGGCTTGAAAAGATGTTTTAAAGTAACCAGTATACTTTCCACAGCATAACTAATGACTTAAAAGGAAAGATGTTTGGAACGTTTGGGTTCTTTCGTTTTATAAACAGGACACTAAACATAGGACTGATAATTCTAAGTGACAGGAAGGGAAGAAGCTAGTTGTGTTATCAGCAAGTGAGTTAGTTCTGAGCAAATTATTTCATGTTTTCTAGGTTTCTCAGAGCTGTACAGTATTAAAAAACTTAGAACATTATTGTGTCAAAGTTGGACAAATATTCAATGAAAAGCATACATCAATCACTTAAATATTACAAAAGTAAAAAATTATGTGAGATGTGTTGAGAGTAGCCTTCCTCCTACCAAAAGAGAAAATGGGGAAAAGGATCACAGGATATTCAAATCAGATTAAAAGAGTAAGTTCTGAAACCTCTTTCTAAATAAACATAATAAAATTGGGTTGACCAAAAAAAATAAAGAAAGAAAGAAAAAAAAAACGCGCCAGGCACAATGGTGCATACTTTTAATCCCAGCACCCAGGAGGCGGAGGCAGGCAGATTTCTGTGAGTTCAAGGACGGCCTGGTTTACAATAGTGAGTTCCAGGGTTTCAGGACACACAGTGCTATGGAGAAAGACACTGTCTCAAAAACCAAAAAAAAAAAAAAAAAAAAAAAAAGGGTTGGATCGCTTTTAATTCTGACAGCACTGTAATTAACAAAGTCAATTTTATTGGATAGAAAACCCCTTAATTTATAAAAAGGAAAACAGAACATAATAAAATAATTTTTATAGATTGAGATATCCCACTTTATTTATGCATTTATGTATTCATTCATTCATTCATTCACCCGTACTAGGGACTGAATGTAGTCTTGAGTATGCTAGATAACAGCCTGGCTTCCCATTCTACTTTGTTTGGCATACGCTTGTTTTGTTTTTTGAAACAAGGTTGCATTGTATAGCCCAGGATAGCTTCCAACTTATATTTTTTCCAGTCTCAGGATCCCATTTTCTGGGATATCACATATGTTTCACTGTTAAATACAAAGCTGAATCAGGTTGATTGCTATCTAAAGGTTAAAAAAAAAAAAAAAAAACCTCTTCACAATATGAGTCCAGATACTTGGGGCTGAAGAGGAAAGCTGGCTACTCTTGCAGAGAACCCAAGTTCCACACAGGGCAGCTCTAACTCCATCCGCGGGGGACCTGATGCTTTCTTCTGGCCTCCACTGGCTCTTGCACACATCTTTCCCAAGTCACCCTCCCCCAATTAAAAATATTAATCTAAAACAACAAAGGTCCAATTATTCTTACATGGTTTAATGAACAGAAAACCGAAGACATGTGGTACTCATGTGATTCCACCTTAGCAGAAAAGATACTACACATGTCCCTCTCACTGTGGGGCCGAATTATGTTATTAACTCGAGCAAATGGAAATTAGCTAGATTTCTTTAGGATATGGACTGTGGATGTTCAGGCACAACATTTCCCAACTGTTACAACATTTGTGTACTAAGAGATCTGAACAAATGAAAATTAAATTTGGAGAGTAAAGAAGGTATTTTAAAATTTATGTTTTTGATTAATGATAACTCATAATGAATTATTTCAAAGCTTAAAATATGGTTATTGTTAGTGCAATAGATCAATGCTTATATGGGAGCAAGATTTTACAAAAGAACTATATACATTTCTTTCTTTTTGAAGGTAGAATCTCATGTGACCCAAACTGGCCTCAAACTCTCTATAGGTGTACAACCATCTCCTATAGAGAGGGACTGAACCCAGTACTTCATGTATCCTAAGCAAACACTACACCAACTAAGCACATCCTAGCCCTCTTACTGACAAGACTAAGAGAACTGCTATTGAAAAGATGGATAACACTGCTCATTGACTGTATCTTTCCTTCCACTAAGACCTAACTTATTTTAGAATTAACCCCTATCTGGATCTGTAACAATTAAAGAAATTAGACTGGAAGGTCTGACAGATAACATTTAGCTTGACTTGCCAGGCAGTGGTGGCACATGCCTTTAATCTTAGCACTCAGGAGGCAGAGGTTATGTGGATCTCTTGAGTTCGAGGCCAGCCTGGTCTACAGAGTGAGTTCTAGGACAGCCCAGGCTACACAGCGAAACCCTGTCTCGAAAAACAAAATAAAAGAACCATTTACCTTGATTTTGTAGCTGGGATCAAATTACATTAACCAAACAACTTCAAAATAATTGGACAATATCATCCATATAATTTAATCATCACATTAAGCTAATTTTACCTAGATGACAGAAATAGTTCAATCCGGATTAAGTTTCAATATGGATCAATTATTTAGGGACTTATTTTTGTTTTTAAGTAATCAGACAAAAGAAAACTATGACCCAGTTTAAATTTTCTTTTTATAGCTTTATTTTGTGTATGAGTGCTTGCCTTCATGCATGCATGTACACATGCATGTGCCTGGTGATTGTGGAGGTCAGAAGAGGGTATAAGATTCCTTGGAACTGCAGTTACAGAAGGTTGGTTATTATGACCTTTCATTTCAGTTCTGGGAACTGAACCTGTGTTCTTGGGAAGAACCATAAATGCCCTTAAATACTGAGACAACTCTCTAGTCCCAGTTTTTAAAATTAAATTAAAATATGTGCAACTATATTAGTTATTTTCATTTCCGATGCAAGAAACTAAATTACATTTACTGGACTGTTTTCCTGTTCTAATCTTAAATGTATAATGTGGGACATAAATGGTCATTTTTTTAAGTAGTTTTCTTTGGCTTTTTTTTTTTTTTAACCCTGGATAGATGGCACAAAAAATAAGCTTGTTACAAGAATTCAGATGCTGGCAACAGCTTCTCTCAACCTGATACAAGGACACTGACCCACTGTCCTCATTCTCTTGTATTGCCAGGACAAACTAGGAGGCTTCAGAAAACAAGCTAGGAGGCTTCAGGGAAGTACCGTAAAAGCAGCCTGTGAAGACACAGCCCAGCATCACTGACCTCTTAACTTCTAGGGAGACCACACATCATCATCAGAGTACCCGCAACATTCCTGATGACGGACGGAGAAACTGTAGTCCCCTAAGTCCTGACCTAAACCACGCAATGGAAAAGCTGCCACTGCTTTATTTAGGCTTATTCTTGGCTTTATGATGCCTAAAGTATATGTTCGGATGCTGTTTCTTATGAAAGTATACTTTATTTTATTCTGAAATACCACAAGATATTTCTTCCATTTACTGAGTGAAATCCACCAAACATTAAAGATACAGACAACAAACAAAGCGAAGGTTATAAACACTGAAATTAGCACACAGCAGATGCTGATGAAAATCAGAAGCTAAATTTCCTTCTGAAAGCTTGAGGCATTTCCAAAACATCTAGAGAAAATATCTGGGTAAGTGGGTGTGCACATAGAGAGGGCAAGTAAACAGAAAATCAAAACGTTGAGATGTTTTTACCTCACAGGTAAACCTAGCTGAAAAGTGGCTTCCAGAGTCTCCTGCTTTCACATCCTCTTTGTTCTACAAGCATAACTTCTCAAAAAGTAGTATTTTATTAAGAGTATGGATCATAGACTAATTTGTTTCTTTAAAAGTGCTTGAGTTTTAGATATTCTGTGAACTAAAGATGAAGTAAGAGTATTTTAAACTAGTTTTAATCTTTTAACACATATTTATGTGTGTGTACCTAAACTTGTGTGAGTCTGGAGGTCAGAGGACAATCCTTGGGAGTAGCTTGTTCCCTCAGCACCTGGACCCCAGGAATCTCACGAGCTGAGGTCGTCAGGCTTGGCGGCAAGTATTCTTCCAGCGGAGCCATTTTGCTGGCCCCAATTTTAATCTTTTATTTTCAAACCTGACATATCATGTAGGCATGACAGCACATACCTTAATTTCAGCCTCTTGGAAGGCACAGGCAGGAGGATGGCTTTCAGTCAAAGGATCTGAGGCAAGTCTGGATAATACAGCTAGATTGTCTTGAAATAAACAAAACCAGACCTAAAAGATGAGGTCTGTTTGCCCTGCACCCACAGTGCACTGTCCTCACACGGCTCTCTCCACTATTTCCAAGTCTCGCTGCTTTATGTTCTGCCTAGGCGGATGCCTCATACTGTGCTCAGACATGCGCAGTGAATATCTTTAAAGAAATGCTGCACGATGCGGTGTCGTTTCTCTGTGTTCTAATACCTTTCCTCAAGAACGGTTCTAAGAGCTGAGTATGGAGGTTCCCATCTATAATCCAGAGGATCATGTGTTCACGACAGCCTGGGTTACACAAAGACTCTGTCTGACAAAAACAAAACAAAACATGCAGGACAAATTTCTAGGTCAATTTTCTTATAAAAGAGGAGGAAGTTAAAATGAAGCACTTGCATATAGTTTCTGAAAAGTCTTAATCACATTAAACTGGAATTAAAGTTATTTGTCTTTTATACAGACCTAAGTAACATCAGCACTTTGAATAGCAAGTACATAAAATAACATCCTCCACTAGATGACATACCTAAACACAAACAAAATAACCCTCTGACCAGATTCCAGATTTCTTTTTTCTTTTGAAAAATGTGGTTTGGAACAAGAAAAAGGCTGGAAGAAACCATAAATACTACCTGGGATCAAATACATAAATCAATATGGAGAAAGACAAAAGGTATATCATTTTCAAGTGAATGATAGTTTAAAATTATATGATACCTTATATAGACAAAGTGCTTCCCAGCGACTGCTTAGCAGGCATTCATCTATGTAAATAAATGTGGCATATAATGTAAGCAATTTCAACAACCAAATACCCCAAAATCTCTCCAGTTACCAACTCTTGGACTCATAGGTAGAGTTAGGGAACACTGTAAAGAGATCTATCATAATATTACACACAAAAGGCATGTACTGATCTTAATTAATGGTATTAAGATGTTAGCTATCAAGATTGAGAAAAGGGAAGGCTTACAGAATATATAAAACATATAAGGTATAAGTCAAAGAACTGCCCCAAAGAGAAGGCTACCTATATGAAAAATAAATCTTTTACATGTGGAAAGCAATTAAAAGTGTGTGGCTAGAATCTGATTCTTAACTACTAAAATATTTCAAAAGAAGAAAAAAAAGCCTGCCAATTTTTTTTTATCCTCTGTAATGTCTACCCAAACCTCTTCACCAATTCCACTTCTGCCAGCAAACATGACAGCAGGAAGTAGTTATGTTCTGAAAATAAACTCCAAATCTTAGAGTAAGTTTAATTTCTAGTAAAACAACATGAAAACTTCTTTCTTCCCTCCCAGCGACCCTGCCAGGTGCCGTACGATCTGACTACGGCCTCTGCACAAGTGCTCTCGACACCACTCTGGATAGTACAGTAAGTATTGAAGTTATCTGAAGTGCATTTGAAAAACAACTGAAAACACAGATTAATACACCATAAAAAGATTAATTCCCTTTAAACAAAGACATTCTTATAAAGTATGGTAACACAGTAGGCACGATAAAGAATATAAATTGTGTATCAATTATTGGCAGAAAATCTGATTCTTTACAAAGCCCACACAAATGGGGAAGAAGACATTTTCATACAAAGAAAAGTATTACACTATTATACAACGTTTTTAATTGTACATTTACAAATTTTTGGCACATTAAAAGAAACTGAAAAGACCATAAAGGACAAAGAAACTAAAAGATGCAAGAGAGATCCTCACGTGAGAAACACTAAATATCAACACAGGAGAGAACAAACGAAGCCGGCTGGATTTCCTGAAATGTTATATGTAACAGAAGTATGCCTTTTAAAAATCCCTAATGGCGAGACCTCTCTACCTTGCTGTGGCTGGCTGGACATGGCCTGGATAGGATCTTCTTGTGTTGGTTGCTTGCCTTTGCCTTGCTAGAAATGACTGCCCTGAACCTGTGCTAGCTAGTCTATCTTCAGCCGCCTTTTTATGTAGAGTCATTCCCTGTAACATTAAAACAGAAACATAAGCAGTCAGTGAAAACATGGGATATCCTTAAAAAATAAATGTCATCATGCAGAATTTACTATATCAAATAGCAAAGTACAATTAATTAGGAATATTTATTCTACTCATTCATGACTTAAAATTTTATGAAATCATTTCATTTCAATAATTAAGTACAAATCTTCCTTTGGAAAAATTAAGGTTTAATTTTATGAATTTACAACAATCAAAACGAGATAGTGGAGGACGATTTTTAGAAGATGCCACCTATTTTGTCTTTTCAAATCAAACTGATTTTCCAAGAAAAGTGCAAATGATTGGCAGCAGCAGATTCACACAGATTGTGGAAATCACAGAACTAATCAGGAAGAGAAACATAGATGCACTTGGTTTTTATGATGGAAAGTCATACTAGGTACTATACATACCACAGTGCTGTTTTTCTTCACTTCAGGGATGACTTGTATTCTCAAAGAAACTAAGAAAAGTTTCTGACAACCCATAACAGAAGATACAACCAAGAAGGGGGATCTCCCCTTGAAAGCAGAAAAACCACTTACTACCTTTGAAGAGGGGCAAAAGTCACCAAGCTACCCCTAGACAGGAGAAGGAAGCAGGGGTACTTCAGCATGTGGAGAAACAGTGAGCGACAGCAACAGCAAACCACCTTGCTAAAGTCAGACGACTAACCAAGAGCCTGGGCATGGGCCAGTCTTAAGTGTTCTTTTAATAAGACGGCTTCTGGTTAATCACACCAGTAACAGAGAACAGGTAAACTGATGTGTAGAAGTGGAAGATGACAAAGAGAAACACAGCACAGAAAACAGGAGACTGGAAAGTCAAGCTTCCTATTACTTATAAGCTTCTAGGAAAACACTGGCCATAGCTTTGCATTCTGAATATAACTTCATCCATTCATATGCACCTAAGAACACAACCCATTTTATTCAATGGGAAATCTTAGAACACATTTCTTTTCTGTGTGTTTTAGACAAGGTTTCTCTGTGTAACAGTCCTGGCTGTCCTGGAACTCTCTTTGTAGACCATACTTGAACTCACAGAGATCTGCCTGCCTCTGCCTCTGTCGTATTTTAAGGCAGAGTCTTATGATGTAGCCCCGCTAGCCTAGGACTAGGTCAAACCAGCAGAACTTGAACCGGGATTGCTGTCTTAATTCACTATGCCTTAGGATATGTCCCTAGGGGGTGGGGTGGTAGCATATGTACAGTTATTACATGTGTGCATACACGATGTATACAGATAGGATGCCTGTATCACAGTTTATGTGGAGGTCAGAGGACAACTTCATGGAGTTGGTGCTCTTCCATTTTACACAGGTTCTAGTTATTGAATTCAGGGTGCCAGGTTTGAGTAGCAAGCATAATTACCTGCTAAGTCATTCTGCCAACCCCCAGAATATACTTTTTAGCTCGGCTTTAACTTAAAAAATATATTTGAAGGTTTGAATAACACTTGCAAATATCTACTGAAATGTTTTACTACATTTATTTATAATTCTAATTTTCCAGGCAGTTGACTGTGCTCTGTATTCTAGAGCGCTACCACTGTGCTACACTTTTTACTCCCTTCTAAGATGTCAGAGGCCAATACAAAGCTATTTGTTGAGAAACTTATACCTTGTCCAGTAGTCACCGTTTTGACTCCTATTTAAGTTGTCTGAGATGCAAAACATTCTGAGTATAAGCATGATGCTCTATTGATTATTTTTTGTGAGTAACCTGCATGTATCTATTTGAAATTACCCCTTCATTCTGAAAAGTTAAAAATTAGCACTATCCTTTAGTTCCATGTCACAAAATAAATAAATCCAGTTCCATAAGAAGCAATATGTGAAATTGCTAACAGGGACTAAGGTACAGGTCTGTGAGACTGGGAACACAGCTTCCAGGAAGATAGAACAGTAGGGTTAGGGTTAATGTCCACAGAAAATTTCTTAATAAAATTTATTTTATTTTTAAATTTAATTTTCAAGAAAATTTTATTTGTTAATAACATTCTCGAGCTGAGCAGTGGTAGCGCATGCCTCTAATCCCAGCACTCAGGAGACAGAGGCAGGTGGATCTCTGTGAGTTTGAGGCTAGCCTGGTCTACAAGAGCTAGTTTCAGGACAGGCTCAAAGTTACAGAGAAATCCTGTCTTGAAAAACCAAAACCAACCAAACAAAACAAAAACAAGAACAACAACAAAAAAACCCAAAATAATATTTTCTTTCAAAATTATTTCCCTTTTAAAAGAAAAATTACAGTAAGATCTTAAACACACTGGTGTACTGTAGACACATGTCATGAAGCAAATTTTTAGTAAAGCTCAAATCACATTTTAAGGTTGGAGAGCTAACCTTTAAGAGCGGGTACCAACAGTAGTAATACTAAAACAAAAACAATATTTATGCCAACAGGAGAGCAATAGGACAAAAGGGAAAAACTGAAAGGACAGCCCAACTTCCTGTTTCAAAACACTAGCATTTGGCTGGTGAGACGGCTCTGTGAGTAAGGCAAGCCTAGCGACTTTGTCCAGCCCTTGGAACCCTCAGCTGCCATAGGTGTCCACAGCACCAGCTCCCCTCATGCACACACATGCACAATGAATAATGTAGAAAACCCTAACACTTCAAAGCGGCAGAAATGGTTTCATTAAAAAGAGCACAAAGAAAAGGAAGACAAAGGTCCTAGAAGGGGCCCCATCCTGTAAAATTCACAACTGGGCATGAGCCAATGAGCAGTTATCTCCTTCCCTTACACATATTTAGTTTCTTTGCACATGTACTAGAACACTCACTCCATTTCAAAACCTTCAGTGGTCAAAGTCTGAAACTGAATATTTCCATATCCCATGAGACAGTTACGCTACCTGTAAAGAAAATCTCATCTTGCAAATGTACTGAAACAACCAACAAAGCCAGAGTTACTGCATCTGTTCAGGCATGACCATGTCTACTTTCCCCACAACAAATGGCTCCAAAGAGTAAGACTAAACTGGTCTTTTCTATCCTCTGGGTATGATTGTTTCACAACGCCTTAGCCTGGGTGTGGTACTTCTCAGTTTAAAGGTCAACATAAAGGCTTTGTTAGTACATGTTAGGAGAGAAATTACTATCAGATTCTTTTGGTAGAATTACTTCTACAGTAAAGGCAATATAATGACATACAACTTTGTGTTACATTCTGAATATTCTGGAATACTCTTCTCTTACCATATTGTACCAGGCACTAACAATGTATTTCTCCTCCATGTCTCTTTGACTCTTCGTCTTCTCGTATTCTTTCTGAAGCACAACCACATGTAAAGATACAAATGAATTCAACATAAGGAAGATACTTACAATTAACCGCCTAACCCAAGGTTACAATATATAATATAGCAAGGGTCTCTGAAAAAGCTAAAAACCTCAGTATTTTATTGCACGGTGTACTAACTGACCTCTAATGAGTGGAACAGTCGATCCCGTTCCTGCAGTTGGTTTTTAAGAGCTTGTATTTCTGGTGCTGCTCCTTGATTCTGTTTAGGGTCTAATGTACGAATAACCTGCAAATATAAAAGAAAAACTTAAGTACACATATAAGTTCACATATATAACCTAAACAACAAATCCCCCAAAACTCAAACTTCAACTCCTCAAATTTACAGAATGTAGCATTTAAGAAAGCAGTCTTAAAAATGAAAATCAGGCAAAGGATACAACCCAGTGATACAGGTGATACAGTACATACTTAACACGCATGGGTCCCTAGGTCCCGTCCCCAGAACTGTGGGTAGGGGTCAGGGAATCTAATGGCTAGAGCTATAGCTCTAATCTAATCTAGAGCTATAGCTATCACTATCTTAGCATGCATGAAGTTCTGTGTTTGATTCTTATCCCTACCCCAATCAAACAAACCAGAAAAGGAAAATAACACTCAAAGGCTATTAAGGACACTTATAAAAGGTAAGTGTATGAAATAAAATTGCCTAACTTTTCAATGATACAGATGGAAGAATCAATTCTGAATTACTGAGCACTGCTAGAGAGATGCTATCCACAGCTCTTTTCTATTTTATTTTGGCTAGTCCTGGACATGTAAACAGAAAGACACGCAAGGGTGAATCCTAAGCAGGCCCGTCTCTTCTGTCAGTAATATGGTGGAGGCATGAACACTGAATGTAATTCTATCTGATTTATTACAGGATTTTTGGAGAAGAGGTAGTTTTGTTCTCCACCAATAGTTTTACTACCAAAATGTTCAAACACATAGACCTCTAAATAGTTCAAACCCATTTATTATTTTTAACCTGGATTCAACAGTTGCTACTCTGTCATACCTGATCTCCCCTAACACTCTTAGGTGCTAGAAATAATTCACAGTCCCAGTGAATACAACCCTTAAGTACTTCAGTGTGCCTATCCCTAGGCTTTTTTTTTTTTTAACTTAATGATCACAATGCTACCTTCACCTATAAGAAAATAATAATTCTGTAAAATGGCCGGAATTTAGTCTATGTCTACATCTCCCACCTTTACAAGCAGGAGGGATTGGGGTCTTAGCTTTGTGCATGCTAGGAAAGCACTCTATCTATGAGGCATGTATCCCTAGATCTTATTATACCTTTTATTCTGAGACACGTGTCTCAGTAAATTGTTCAGGATGGTTTTGAACTTTCAACCCACCTGCTTTGGTCTTAAGAAGTAGCTGACATTACTTGGCCAAAGCATCTCTTAAAAGTGATTCTCTGTCCTCAATTCAGGACTCAAAGACTTATGCATTCCACCTGGCAAGCCGGATTCCTTTTAATGCAGTACAGCTTCCTACTTACTTCTTTATTCTACTCCCCCGCTTTTTTTTTTAGTATAATACTGACCTAAGAACTCAGAGACCAATTGGCCCAAAGCTAGTGCCCATATGGACCACGTGAAAGAGGAATAGAAGAGTTTCCCCAGGGGATATCCAAGCATGGGTGTGTATAAATGATTGATCAGTGTGTGCAAAGACTAGCAACTATGGCTTCCTCTTTCCAGATACTTACAGCCTGAGACTGCACAACTATAGAGATCTCCTTCCAAGACTAGCTAACCCTTCTCCTGGGCTTAATAAAAACAATGAGGTTCTGGGTTGCAGCAGATAGAAATTCCCACCTGATCTCAACTTTGCTGTGTGTGTGTCTGTGATTCTCTTGTCAATCCTAGACAGGGTTCCAGGACCTCAGCACAGGATGACATGTGGCAGTCAGGGGCCACTGTTGGGGGCCTTTGATCATGCTCCACCTTAGTTTTTGAGAGAGTGCCTCTTACTGAATCTGGAGTTTACCATGTTGGCTAGACTGACTGGCTGCTAAGTCTGAGATGGTCCTGTGGTCTCACTTCTCAGAGCCGAGGTTATCCATGTGTGCACCCATGCCCAGCTTTATGTGACTCCTGGGATCTGAAATGACATCTCCATTCCATGCTTGTACACCGAGCACCTGATCCACTGAGCCATCTGCTTAGCTCTCATAATACTGACTTTTAACCCCAATTTTGGATTATCTGACAGTTTCCTAAAGGTGTTACTTATTTACTTTTAAAAAGAATTATTTTCTGTATATAGGTGTTTTGTTTACATGTAGGTAGACATATCAGAAAAGGAAATCAGATCCAATGGGACTGCAGATATAGACAGCTGCTGCTGAGCCATCCCTCCAGTCCCACCTAAAGGTGCTAGTTAACTTGTTCAAACAGCTTCATGGTGTGAAGAAAGATCTAAAAGACACTTTGATTCAGGTTAATCACTGATGACAGTGATATTCCATCAGGAAGCACCAAATCTTGGCTGTAGCACTGTACATTGTTAATACTTTTTATTCAAGTATTTTTTTTTTTGTAAAAATGATTTATTTTAGCCAGGTGTGGTAATGTATGCCTTTTATCCCAGCACTTGGGAAGCTGATGCAGGTGGATCTCTGTGAGGCTGAGGCTAACCTGGTCTCCACAGTGAGTTCCAGGACAGCCAGAGCTGTAACACAGAGAAACCCTGTCTTTAAAAACAAAAACAAATTTCTTTATTTTGAGGGGTTTGATTCTCAGCAGGCATACATGGCTATCATGTGACTATATGTACCATGTGACTATGGAGATGAAGAGAAGGTATCTGGAATCTGGAGTTACAGACAACTGTGAGTCCACCATGGGGGTGCTGGAAACTAAACCTGGGCTCCCTGCAATACCAAGTTCTCTGAACCACTCAGCCATCTCTCTAGCCCTTTAAATTTTTAGTAAAACTAAAGATTTATTCATTTATATGAGTTTGAGGGTCTCTCCAACATGTATGCATGTGTATCACCTGCATGCCTGGTGTCCACTGGAGCTATCGGAGCCCCTGGAACTGGAGTAACTGACAGCTGTAATCTGCTTTGTGGGTGTTGGGAACTGAACCTGGGGCTGCACAAGTAGCAAATGCTCTCAATTGCTGAGTCATCTCTCTAACCTTAACTCTTAAAGTCAACCTATAACTTAATAGGGTCTTTTTTATTATGGCATTTTCACACATTTATGTCATTCATTAGCCTTCGCTCTTGGCTGAGGGAGATGCTAAATGCCAGGCCTGATGAGTGCCACTCCTGGAACCCAAACGACAAAAAGAACCGACTCTTGTACCTTGTCCATATTGGTTCCTGTCTGCTCATAGAGACATCTCATTCAGCTTTGTTCTTCTTCTTTTATGTGTTGTTAACTCTACGTACTGGCTACAGTTGTGGCTGTCAGCTATTTCTTACATAGGTGCATTGTCCTCTTGCTATTCAATTTGTGGAGCGATCTATTTTGATCACTACTTACTTGGAATCTTTTTCTGCTTAGATTTCTTTGATTATTCTTTGTGTAAGAACATGATTTTAACTGGACACTACACTTCCAGGCTAGAGAAAACCCTCTCTGGAATGTACAGTGGGAGAGTTACAAGTTCATACTCACACTTTTGGCTTTCTCCAAGTACTTTTTATAGCGCTCTTCCATTTGCTTCATTTCTTCTTCTTTCTTCCGTAAAGCTTCTTGCAATTCTTCAATTCTTAAGGCTGAAAAAAGATGTCCGTAAAAAATTAGATTTTAGTAACATTATATTTAATTATTTATTAACAAAATGGCACCTACAGAATGGGAAAAGATCTTCACCAACCCCACATCAGACAGAGGTCTGATCTCCAAAATATATAAAGAACTCAAGAAATTGGTCATCAAAAGAACAAATAATCCAATAAAAAAGTAGAGACCTAAAGAGAGAACTCTCAACACAGGAATCTAAAATGGATGAAAGACACTTAAGGAAATGCTCAACATCCTTAGCTGTCAGAGAAATGCAAATCAAAACAACTCTGAGATTTCATCTTACACCTGTAAGAATGGCCAAGATCAAAACAGTGACGACAACTTATGCTGGAGAGGTTGTGGGGAAAAGGGAACACTCCTCCATTGCTGGTGAGTGCAAGCTGGTACAGCCCCTTTGGATGTCAGTGTCACGATTTCTCAGAAAAGTAGGAAACAACCTTCCTCAAGATCCAGCAATACCACTTTTGGGTATATATCCAAAGGATGCTCAATAGTGCCACAAGGACATGTGCTCAACTGTGTTCATAGCAGCTTTGTTTGTCATAGCCCAAACCTGGAAATAACCTAAATGCCCCTCAACCGAAGGATGGATAAGGAAAATGTGGTACATTTACACAATGGAGAACTACACAGCAGAAAAAAAATGACATCTTGAATTTTGCAGGAAAATGAATAGAGCTAGAAAACATCATACTGAGTGAGGTAACCCAGACCCAGAAAAACACATCATCTTCTCCAGGCATAGGGGAAATTCTTAATTGCTAGAATAACTAAAAGGCGTATTTAAAAAAGAAACAAGTTACATAAATTCATTCTATAGAATGCTGCATGGCTAATGATGCTATTAGGAAAAACTCACAGCTGTTATTAAATCTTGGCTCGAGATCTTCAATTATGGCTCTCTTTTTCTGTAATTCATTGTTGGCTTCATGCAGCTTCTCTCTGCAACAAGATATATGATCATATCGTCACTTCTGTTTTTCTTTCCTGTGCTGGGGATCCAATTTAGTGCCTCGTACATGCTATGCAAATTCTCCACCTCTAAGTACATGCTCAACCCTTGTTTCTATATTCTTTTTTCATCGGAACTAAAAATTCATTACTTTCGAATACACTTGCATTGCACACAAGCACTATGAAACGAAGGTAAACAGACTAAAGTTTAATGCAAAACAAAGGAAGTCAGGAGTTTATCAATACAGCATTGAAACTAACAAAAGATGAAGATTAGAGAGATGTACTCAATCAACTGGGAAGAAGAAAGATGAATTCTATTAAATGTTGACTCGGGTTATCTATATGGAGGCAAATATTCACAACCTATGTTTAGAAACTTAGGATATGTATATTACTATATAAAAGTTATATTCCAATATAAAAAAGAATAAATAGAAATTTTTTTCTCTTGTGAAAGTGTTATAATAATGTGATGTATAATTCTTCCATTAAATTATTCAGTGTGGCATTATGTAATATGTATAAGACAGATGGCTAAAACAATAACCAATAATATCAGCATTTTGTTATGTCTACTTTTGATTTTTTTTCAAAGCATAAATACTGCAATAAATTTCTCCTTGCCTTTTTGGATACAGGGTCTTACTGTGCAACTCTGACTGAACTGAAATTCACTCTGTAGACTAAACCGGCCTTGAACCCAGAGACTTACCTACCTTTGCCTCCCAAGTGCTGGGAATAAAGGCTACTACTCCTGGATCCTTTCCTTTTTCAGTAAATAATTTTTGAAGGTCTAACTATCATACATATATAGATCATATATGTTATATATATCTAAAATATCTATTTATATATGAATAAACCAAAAATCATCCCCAAACCTTAGAAATCACACATCTTCCTAGGGGTGATCAATGTACAAATTTTTAAGTGTTCTGATTTATATGATGGTTGCTGCTTCTGTCTTATTCCTAAGCAATACATTATTTATGTCTAGCATTTTACTTATTACATTAATCATTAAATATAGGTCTTCTAAATGTTCCCTATTATACATGGACATTATTATCTCTGGAAATTTCAGGTATACACAGTAAAGCAAATATATTATAGAGTATGTACTTTCTTCGATATGAAGAGGTTACTGAGAAATACTACCAGAAGTCAATGAGAATTATTATTGCTTAAAAACTTTAGTAATAATTTAGTAATAATTGTCATTACTGATTTAATTTTTAAACCCAATTTGTTATGTTTTTAAATCTGTGTGTGGCTGAGATGAGGTCCTGTGTGAGCTGAAGTGTTATCCAAAAGGAAAGGTCTTATCTCTAGTACTGGGATGGAGACACTATTTAGAAACTGGATGTTTGTAGACACAGCAGGAGGTTGTACTACTGGACCAGGGTACATGCTGAGCCCACTACTACTGTCTTCAAAGGGAGACCCACATTCCTCCTATGGTGGCTTTGTTTCCCATGGGTCCAGTTGCTCATCTCAACTGGAATCAAACCATTACATTAAAACCCTAAAAGAAGCTAACTTTTGAGACATACAATGTACCAAGTTGTGTGATAAACTTTCATGTGGTCTTGTTGGGTCCTGCCTGACATGTGAATGATCCCTCATTCTGTGTATCTAGACTGTGTAGTTATCTACACTTGTCACTTAGTAACCAGTTGGTTACCAGAATAACTGCCTTAAGATAGTGTTATAATTTCTCTATTTTATTATTAAACTATTATCAGAGGAATTTATCTATAGAAAAAACCCCAGAAAATGTGGAGTTCAGAACTATGAGTGATTTCAGGCATTCATTGAGCATCTTGGAAGAAATCCCTTGAGCATGAGGGAAGCACTGTACAGAAAGAGTGTCAACTGGAGACAGGCTACCAAAGGAACACCAAAGATTGTCAATGACTACCACAACTAGGAGATGTATGGAATATGTTGCTGCTCATTCTCTAAGAGACTAGTCTGTGGACAACTGACCCTCAAACTCTTTGACTCTGTAACTGTGAGAAAATAATTGCTCTCTTCTCTTAGCCCCTTTATTTTGTGCTTTTTTTTTTTTTTTTTACAACAGACACAAGAACAGGGGCCATCTTCACTAAAGACCCTATCTGATGAAGATTTTTAGCATGTAAACAACTGAACACATAACAATGGTTAAAGAGTAGAATTATGATCTGAAGTATTCTATCTGTTTTTGTTAGAGATTAATGGAAAATACAATAGTTTTTATTCCGAGTAGCCTTACAAAGGCTGGAGAGTAGCATTGTTCTAGATCACTACAAGTTTGTCTATTATTAGATTTTCTAGACATTTCAGTGGCCAGGAGTCTATCCCATCCAACATATTAAAAAAACTGGATAACACATATCAAACTTTCAGAAACATGAGTATCTTCCTGCAGTTACTAATTCATAGCCACCCCACACTTAATGCCTGCAAGCAGTTTTGCTGAAAAATGATAAATTAAGGTTGTTACTGGGCATGAAAAAAATTATTAAATATCCCTAACACAGCTAACTTCAGCTAAAGATGAAGATTTCTTCAGGAGAAATCAAAGTTAGTATTTGAAGTTTTTATTTCATCTTTTAAGTTAAAAAGCTGTGCTTAAGATGACTGTGATTCATCTACTTTAAAATGTTAACTTGATATAGCTATAATACATATACCGAAGGCTCAGGGAACATGGAGAAATGGGGGTGGAAAGATTGTACGAGTCAGCACCAGGCCAAGCTCCGGGAATCCAGGTGAAGAGAGGAAGGAGGAAATATATGACAAGGGAGGTCAGATCATGATGGAGACATCTACAGGGACAGCTGAACCATGCTCGTGGGAACTAGCGAACGCTAGACCGACAGCTGTGGAGCCCCCATATGGGAGACAGTTGTGAAGCTTGGCCTATTTGAGGGGACCCCCTGGCAGTGGGACCAGGATCTCTCCCTGGTGCATGAGCTAGTTTGTTGGAACGATGTCATGCTCAGCATTAATGCAGGGGGGAGGGGCTTGGTCCGGCTCTAATTTAGTGCATTAGACTTTGTTGACTCCCCATGGGGGATGTGGGGCAGGAGGAGGGGTGGGAAGGAAAACTGGTTGAAATATAAAATTAAAAAAAAAAAAAAACAACTGTAAGAGCCAGAGGCCCAGGACATCTGATAATCAACCAACCAGCAAATAAACAAAAAACTAAAAACCAACAAAAAAGACAGGAAGTAGAGTGGGGTAGGAGAAGGGTTAGGGGAAGGTGTGGGGGCGTGGAGATGATCAAAAAACATTGTATAAAATTCTCAAAGAACTAGTAAAATTATATTTTTAAAAAAGTTTACTTATAGAAGAACCAATGCCTGGCAAGCTGCAGTCTATCGGGGCAGTTAGAGGGGTGCCTGTTCCCGTATGTGAAGTTCTACTGCAGCACAGTTCTAACTAGTTTTAATATTGTCTACAGCTGCTTTGGAGCTGAGTGGCTGTAACAGAGGCCAGGACTCATACAGCCTCAAATAATTACTATCTGGCCTGTCACAGATAAAGGCTCCTTTCTAAGAAGGAGTCTCACACTGTTGCCCAAGTTGGCCTGAAACCAGGAGTAATTCTCCTGCCTTGGTTTCTGCATTGCAGGTATGAGTCACCATGCCCAGCTCACAGTCACTGAATTGATGTGCAGGATTTGGGTGGAAATGGTCCTGTAGACACTACTAACAAGTGGTACTTCCCTGTATCTTCAAGGATCTTATGCCACTGTCTACACAGTTTGTACCCACAACACAAAAAGCTTTTGTTCTGTAATGTGAAGAACCTCAACAAATTTTCTACTTACAGATGTTCTTCAAGCTTCTTTTTTAGAAGAACTGACTGAAAGTGGAAAATAAAAAATTAGCTCATTATTTAACATTTTAACTAACAAATTACTTTGTAAAAATCAAAGTATATACAGTAAATAACTTGGAGTAAGCTATCAGTAATCTCTTTGGTAAAAGAGCTCAAAACCCAATGTACCTCAATTTACAGTCCTCTTCAAGAAGAGAACAGCCCAGAAGTGAGAGCAGCCACAGTAAGAAACACACAGATATAAATTCCCAATTTATATAGAGACCCAGACATTCCTGGACTCAGTATCCAAATAGTCCCCTAATGTAACACACTTTTTACGCCGCTTTCTTGGCATTACGGCAGTCTCAGGTTCACTGCCACAATTAACTGCGGACAAGTAATGTAGTTCATGGCACGGGAAATATAAAGGTAAGATGTTAGGATACTGAGGTTGAAGTTTTGACTGGGTAACTTTTTTTTTTTTTAAAGTTTTAACTTCCTGAAAAGCAAGAAGTTAAAACTTAGATACATGATACCTCTAATAAGATATCTTATTAAAAGGTTTATAAAAGGAGATATCTTATTTAAAGATAATAATCTTCTAATCTTTGTTTTAAAATAATTGTTCTCTTTGTGCTGAGAGGATGAAATGGAAATACTCAAAGTTCTTAATTTTGTTTTGATTAGATCTTAACAAATTACTTTGAATTCTCTACATATTATATAGTAAAACAACTAAATACAAGTTAATAAGCCAGATAACTCACAATAGTAATATTAACCCTGTTGTACAACTGAGGAAGCTGAGGGCCAGCAATTTAGTACCTTAAGTAACACACTGAAAACTAAAGTCCAGTACAGCAGAGACCCAAACCCTCTGAATACCTCCCTTTCCTTGTGTTCTATGTTGCAGTGCCTCTCCAAACTGAAGACTATAACTATCAACATGTGTGGTTGGAGGAGACTAGATTATAAAAGGAAGCTTGTATTAAGGTCAGTTATTATCCACGAACTAATTATAAGGGGTAGAGCAGAAGTGAGCAAAGGGAGAGGACTTCTCCACTAAGGTTTGGATGTACTTTCAGAATTTTAATTGTAAGGAGCATATACTTAGAAAGCAAGTATTAGAATGTTCATTTTTCACGAATCCTACTTTGAAATTTCAGTATCATTACCTATAATATCAGATAAAAGTATACAATCTAAAAACTGCTAAGTATATGGAAATGAATAGGAAGCCATACTTACAATAGCCTTGAGCAGAAACCATGCCAAGAGACAGAGAGCACATATTAGTATGAAGCAAACACAGCAGCCAAGAGAAGGAACGATTTAGTAATTCATGAACAGAAGTAAAAGATATGCATTTTTTTCAGAATTGTACATTTTTCTTTCTTCTCTGGTCTCCTCAGCCTGTCTTGTTCTCTGAAGTTTTATATACTGTGGCTAGCTCAAATTATCCATATGACTGGATATAACAATGCATTTCTGCTTCCATGCTAAAAACAAATGACATAAAATAATAATAAAAATGTGCAAACCAGCATGCTCTGACCTAAGGTTATAAGAAAAGACTGTTTTGATAAGAGAAAAAGCAGCAATTATGTGTTCTTCTTCAGAGGGGATGAATCCAGTCTAGAGGCTGCTCTATGCATCACACTCCTGAGATACAACACTACGGATCATTGGGGAGAAAAATAAAGAGAAAAACATAAAAAATCTGATGGGGTCAAAAGAACTACATGCCCTGAATTAAACCATTTATTTCTCTAAGGAATCTGGAGTCTTCAAAACAGAACAATTTCCACCTGAGTCTTGTCGGCAGAGAAGAACATGGAAGGGAATTTTTCTTAGCTTAGAGGGAGACATCTCATTACTACTTAGGTAGTTAAAAGGTGACCACTTTATGCAAATATCTGACAGGGAAGGCATCTTACCACTGAAATATAATCCCCTACAGCAATTGCCCATAATATATTTAAGTAGATTTACCACAGCGATAAATAACTAGGTTGCCCCAAGCCACTTAAAAAACAACTCCTTAATGTTTTAATTTAAGCAAAAGAACCACACACATGGTCCTTACTACACGATGACATTCAGTCAGGCCACTCACCGTGCTTACACGCGGTGTGCCACCCTCTCTTCCCCTTTCTACCAAAACAAATCCACAAAAGTAACCTTAAAGTTTCCAAACCCAAATGAACTTTTATTTATTTTGTTTAAACGAATCCAGAAACCATAGAAAGAAAGAAATACTACATCCTATGGCTGGCTACCTCTAAAACACTGTTAAGTAGGCTTTATTATTTCAGTGCACTAATTCCAGTTCTTGGAGATTTATCATTTAAACATGTTTTGTTTGATGGGTTGTTTTTAAATCATGGAACTGGGTCAGGGGTATGGCTCAGTGGTAGAACACCTGTTTGAATCTCAGACCCACACTTTGTTTGTTTGTTTGTTTTTTGAGACAGGGTTTCTCTGTCAAATAGTTCTGGAACTCACTTTGGATAAAGAACAAAAGAAATACTTGGCATTTTTATCTAGTCCCATTTTCATAAAGGTGTATGGTTGTTAAAAATGACAGCAGTTGTGAACTGATCTAGGCAACTAAAACAATTACCAACTTATTAAGAAATAAACTAAATTGCCAAGTGGTGGTAGCACACACCTTTAATCCCAGAACTCAGGAGGCAGAGGCAGGTGGATCTCTGTGAGTTCGAGGCCAGCCTGATCTACAGGCTCCAAAGCTCAGAGAAACCTTGTGTGGAAAAGCCAAAGCAAACAAACAAAAAACAACAATAACAACACAACAACAACAAAAAACCCAAACCTCCCAAAAATACAGGGCACACTGGCAACCTAAATAAGATACATGTGTAGAGAAACTTAGAAAACTAAGTTTGAGGCCTCAAGGGCTTTTATATTTAATATTCCCAAACTTTAAAAGTAATTCATTTAACTCTTTCCTTTCCTTTTCCTATGTTAATAAGGCTGGAGATTTCTCCAGCTGGCTGCATCAATGAAGCAACCCAGAAAGTATGAAATCCAATGTCTGAGATCATAGGGAACTGCACTGACAACAGAGAAACAAGACTGATTGAGTAATATTTAATTTCCCTATATTTTACACTGTTCTTTTTTGTGCTTTACTTTTTATTGTGTATGTTTTATTCAATATAAAGAATCTGCCAATTACAACTTGTTTACTGTTGTCAGAGATGTCTACTAGGCATCCTAGCACTGTGAAGGGTGGTTAGTGGACAGAGATGATGTAAGCACAGGTACCATATTCCAGTGAGAACAGGAGAGCTAAGACAGAGATATGCAGAAAATGCTAAAACAATATATATATGCATAAAGAGTGGATTCAGAAACTCAGAGGTGATTAAATATCAGTTTATATTAAAAATTTCTTCTTGGGCATATCTTTACAATTCTTTTTTTTGGCCTGAGGGAGTAACCTTTCATTTCACTATGAATTGAGCACATTTAAGATGTAGAGCTTCGATGTTTATCTTGCCTGATAAACACAAGTAAACTTAGCAGAGTCAATTAAAACAGGACTTTTAAATAAGGAATGCCAGCGAAAAGGAACACAGTACTTCTTCCCCATAACCAGTATAATGCCAAATTATTAGATATCAAACAAAACACTGAAGGTGAGCCTGAGAGATGGTGCAATGGTAAAGACCACTGTCAGCAGGTGTAATGACCTGTTCCTGGGACTCCACACAAGCACATGCCTCCACAACTCATACCCATAAATTTGTTTGAGAAAGTATCAAAATCATAAGTTTTCTTAGCTGTGAAACTTTTGAAGCGTGGTCGGCACATATCAAAACTTACATCTTCTGCTTTTGAGCCTTGATCCTGCAAAGATTTCTGCAGTTCTTCTACTTGTGACTGTACTTCTAGAAGTCTCTGATTCACCAGCCTGCAAAGCAAACACTTATCAATCCTCTACATATACTTTTTCCCGTTGGGCTGTCATAATGATTTCACTGAAAGCATCACTGGCAAACTCAGAACTCAGGATGCAGTAGCATTGCATAACTGCAATAGGACACTCACAGTTTCATAAGTAAAGATTACTTTCCATATTATTTTTTATATTTAAAATTTCACTTTTTGGCTGGAGATATAGCTCAGTTGGTAGAGCGCTTGCCTAGATGCATAAGGCCCTGGGCTCCATCCCCAGTACTATATAGCCAGGCATAGTGGCAAATGTCTGTGGTTCCCAACACTTGGGGGTAGAGGCAGGAAAGTCAGAAGTTAGATAGACACACAGTGAACTTGAGGCCAGCCTGGTATACATTGTGAGCCTGTGTCAGAAAACAAAACAAAGCAAAGTAACACCACCTCACTTTCGCTTTCTCTTTCCTGCTTTTTTTTTTTTAAATCTATGATGCCACTGTAGACTTTTGTCAGTTAAGAAACATTTCCCAAGATGGGTGTGGTGGCATGTACCTTTAATCCCAGCACTTGGGAGACAGAGGCAGGAGGATATCTGGGTTTGAGGTCAGCCTGGTTTACGGATCAAGTTCCTGGACAGTCAGAGCTACATAGAAAAATACTGTCTTGAAAAACCAAACAAACAAAAAGCAACAACAACATACTAATTTTATAGTAACTGACTCTGAAACACTGTGTAACACTGAGATATGGAAAACTTAGAGCAAAAATGCAATTTTTTGTTAATCTAACATAGTTTAAATTTTCAAAATAAGTGAATTGCACTTGGGAGAAAAAAATTTCCTTTTATGGTCATAACAAAAAATAAATGAGGGAAAAAATACTTTATTAACTGAACTCCATACCAGCAGATCCTTTCAAACACTAGTTTGTTGTAAAGAGTTCATGAACTGAGCTGGGCAGTGGGCGCACACTTTTAATCCCAGCACTAGAGAGGCAGAGGCAGCTCTGTAACCTCTGTGAGCTCGAGGTCAGCCTCGTCTAAAAACTGAGTTCCAGGACAGCCAGGACTGTGACACAGAGAAACCCTATGTTGGAAAACAAAACAAAACAAAAAAGAGTTCATGAACTACAATTGCTGTAAAAAAGTGCAAATGTATCAGATATATTTTTTAAAAAAATTATCTGATTTTTATTCAATGTGCATTGGTGTTTGACCTGCATGTATGTCTGTGTGACTGTTATGGATCCTCTGGAACTGGACCTACAAACAGCTTTGAGCCACCATGGCTGAAGAGAACTGAACTCAGGTTCTCCAGAAGAGCAGTCAGTGCTCTTAACCACTGAGCCCTCTCTCCAGGCCTGCATCAGATATTTCTTAATCCTCTGTATATATGTTACCAGGGATGGTAACACAGGCTTTAATACTAGTACAGGCAGGTAGCTCTCTGAGTTCCAGGCCAGCCAGGACTACATAGTGAGACCTGATGTGGGATATCTCTCTGTATACTATGAATATCTTTTATTACCACTGGTTAATAAAAAAGTTGATTTGGCCAATAGCCAGGCAGAATAGTCAGGTGGGAAATTCAAAAAAAGATACAGGAAGCAAAAGGATGGAGTCAGGGAGATGCTAGCAGCCACCTGGAAGAGTAAGATGCCAGAACAGTATCTGTAAGCTGCAGGGCATGTGGCAATACACTGATTATTAGAAATGGGTTAATATGTAGAGCTAGTCAGTAAGAAGCCTGAGCCAACGGCCAAACAATTATAATTAACATTAAGCCTCTCAACATTGTTTGACAAGTGGCTGCGGGGGAACAGGCAAGACAAAGAAAAGTCACCAGCTACAGAGACCCTATGTCAAACAGATTAAATAAACTTAAAAAGAAATATGGATGAACAAAGACAACACCAATGGACATGCCAAAGTGAATGGGGAAAAGCCCATGGGGGCCTCAACTTTACACAAAATACTGCAGGCAACTAAGTAAAGCTGGGAGTGGGAGGTGGCCCTTCAGGGAAGAGCATATGACTGGCTGCTGTACAGTGACAAATGTTCAGCCCTGAAAACCAACACACAAGTAACATTACACATGCTGAGCAGCTTATATTTAGGGATATATATGTACAAACATACATATACACACATGCAGTAACAAGTAGTGAAAAAAGAGGCCATGAGAAGAGGAGCTTGGGGAGGAGAGGATTTAGAGAGATGAAAAAGAAGAAATGTTTAATTATAATTAAAACAAAAGCAAGAAAAATACTAGCATATAATCATTTTTTCAAATGAATCATAAGCCTTTCTTTAGAAATCCCAAAATGAAGGCTCCAAGAGAGAAGCTGTGACTGACTCTACCTGTTCTCTGTCTCCAGTTCATTCTTGCGTAGGTTTGCATCATCTAAAAGGCTCTGCAATAAGGCAATTTTCTCATTGTCTGAGCCCTCTTGATTGATTTTTAACATCTTATTCTCATGCTGTAGACGAATAAGTTTCTCCCTGAATGAGAAAAACAAAAGCTGATTATCTAGTTCATTAAGATGCTGTATGAATCATGATCTGGATATATAAAGCTGGAGTATCAATACACAGGATACAAATGAAAAACTAATACCACCTTTAATGAACTAAACTCCTTCTAGAATGTACAGCCTGAAGAAACAGTTTCTGTGTTTCACGACAAAGGACAAAGAAAATTCCAAATCCTATTTCCCTTCTTCTTTAAATATTTAAACTATGAACATGACTCTTTAACTATATAGTGCAAAATATGACTGTTGCTGAAATTCAACCTTCTAATTCTGTGTGTATATATATATATACAGACAGGTATTTATTTCTCAAAAACACATTTTGTACTGGCGCTTGCTAGTTACACTTAGAATTCCACAATCTTTTAATATTATATCTTGAAAATTTAAATAACACAGCACTAAAAGATATAAATCAACCATTACTTATTTAGATGATACATTTCATGCTTTTAGTATTTTAATAATGAGTGGCCTTATAAAATACCTTTGTGTATATTGTTGACTATTTCCTTAAGATTATTTACCAGAAAAGCAAATTTTCAGTTAAAAGATGGGGACATTTCTACTATAAGACACGTTCTTCAATTTGCTCTAAAGACATTTTTCCCCATTTCTAGTTCCTCCAAAACCCTAACATGAGTGAAAAATGTTAAATGCTAACTCACTGTCTACGGTATATGTTGTAAAGTTTTCATCACTGTTGATATCATTTTCTTATTAGCTCTTTAGGATATAGAGCAGATTTAAGTTATCCCCAATCACATGCAGAAGAACCACAGCCGTGAGTTATCATTGCTCCTTTTTAGCTTAACAAACCTTTACTAACAGGCTTCCTTAACTGCTTTTGGAGTAAAGGATATGGCCATTCATTTATAAATACTTACAAAGAATAAGTATGCCTTCATTCAACTAATTTCATTTGTTCCCAGATGATGAAAAGTAAAAGGTACATAAGGGGCAGGGGATATGGCTGACAGCCAAGTCTGATTCCAGGATTCCAAGGTGGAGAGAGAGAACCAACTCCCAAGATGTCCTCTAGCCTCTAAACATGAGCTATGGCTGGAGTGAGCACGCACGTGCGCACACACAGAATACACAAAACGCACAGCGTTAAGATGGGACCTGATGGACAACATATGATAAAGTCATGACAAACCGGTTCAAAAGTAAAGCAGTGTTCAGAATTAATCATTACCTTATGCACACTTGTTCCCCTCCTCTAATTTTTCAGTCATATTCATAATGCTGAGAAATAAACTGAAGGAGACGAAGTCTCTGAGCTATGTCTAGATGACAGGTGAGGAACACTGAGGGAAGAGTTCCTCTATCTGCACCTTGTGGTTGATAGATAAATCTTAGTAATTAGCTGTTTATTAGGGGGATAGCTAAGTACAACCTTTGTCTTGAGTACTTTCACGCTGTCTGCTGAGGTTCCAAAATGGGATATGTGAGTTTTGCTTTTGTAGTGTGAAAGACTGCCTCATTCAAGTAAAAATAATTCGTTCTCCTGACAATTTAAAAAGCTTCTAAAGTACTGAAAACATGGAAATTTAATACTGAGTTCAGACTGAAATGTCCATCAAAAAGAGGAGCTAGTTCTTTTTCCACCAGAGAGTAAGTTCTCTACAAGGACACTGTGTGGAAGGACTGACTGTCACTGTCACCCTCTTTACCTGATTTCGGGTGTAATAATCTCTGCTGCGAGGCTGTCTGAAGATTCCTGGCTTCCCAGAGGCATTAACCCTATAAATACACAGAGAAGTATACAGTTAAGGAAGCACGGCTACCTCCTTTGCTTAAGAGATACAGTTTTTGCAGGAGAGCACAACCTTTACTCTGAATTTTAACAGCTAAAGAATTCAAAGGTTTTTTAAATTTTATTTAGATTGTTGTTGTTTTATGGTATTAATACTTGAATCTGGCTCTGTGGATGCGAGGCAAAAATCACCAATTTTCTCAAGTAAAAGTTAAAGTAGACTTACAAAATTAACTTATCATTAAAACAACTGTAATGGTCCAACTACATACCATTAAGTACATTTCAATGTTGTCTAGCCATTACTATTATCTGTTTCCAACTATTTAATAACTCAGTCAGAAACTCTATAACAATTAAATTATTCCAATCGTCCTGCCCGAAATTCCTTGGTAAACTCAATTCTATCCTTTCTTCTTTCTTTCTCTCTCTCTCTCTCTCTCTCTCTCTCTCTCTCTTTCTTTCTTTCTTTTCTGAAGCTGAGGACCGAACCCAGGGCCTTGCGCTTGCTAGGCAAGCGCTCTACCACTGAGCTAAATCCCCACCCCCCTCAATTCTATTTTTAGTCTGTCTGTGTTAATGTGTTGCCTACCTAGACATGTAAGCAGATCATGTATTGATCTTTTTTATTCAGTTAGCACAATACTTTGATGACTTGTCCACATTACAGCACTTTGCAGAACTCTCTTGCTTTTGCTGTTCAATAATATTCCACTGTGTGCATTTACTGTATCTAAGCTCAGACATTGCGCATCATTTCTAGTCTGAGGTGACTGTGAATAAGGCTATGTGTATGTAATTGCATAATGTGTATACACAGTAATGCTGTATGTGTACAATTATCTGGCCTCATGCACTTCAGTTCCATTAGTGATGTACTTACACGTGGATCTGATGAATCACATTATTTTATGCTTACACATTTTTAAAAGCTATCAATTTTATTTCCACAGCATTACTCCATCCCACCAGTGATGCATAATGGTTCAATTACTCCCAACCAATTCTAACCAACATTTATTTTTCTTTCCTTGGGGTCATGGTGGTAGTGGGAAAAACATTAGCCTCACTAATTAGTTTGTGGTAACTCATTGATTGCTTTGCCTTTATCTAGTGATAACTGAATGATATCACTATTTCATGTGTTTACTGGCCATCTATCTTCCTTAGAGATATATAGTTCTTTCTATTCAAATCCTTTGTTCATGTGTGCAATAGTTTTTATTTTTATTATTGTTCGATTTTTATAAATTCTTCAGATAGCCTGGATATTCTCTGTGCACATCATATATATTCATGTACATGTATGAGATTATATGCAGAAGACACTCTGTATTTGTGTACCATGTGTGTTCTGAGCATCCGGAGTAGCCAGAAGAGGGCATGGGATCCTCTGGAACTGAGTTTCAGATGGTTAAGAACAGCCTTGTGGTTGATGGAAAATGAACCCAGGTCCTCTTAAAGAGCAGCCTATGCTTTTAACCACTGAGCCATCTCTCCAACCCACTGGTTTATATTTTGAGGCAGAGCTTCTCACTGAGTAGCAAGTCAACTCAAGGAACTCCTACCTCCACAGCAAGCACTTTCCCACGGAGCCACCTCCCCAGCCCCTGGATATTAATTCACGCAGATATCTGCAAATGCAAATACTTTCTTCCACTCTGTAGATCCTCTGCCCTACTCTACTCAAGTGTTTTGGTACATTAACATTTTCAGTATTGATAGAGCCCTCTTCATTCATTTTTTTTTTTTTTTGGTTGTTGCCTATGCCTTTGGCACCAATTGCAGGGGCTTATTTTCAAATTCAATGTCATAAAAACATTCCCCTACAATAGCTCTTATATTTGGTCTTTGAGTCAGTTTCATTCTTCTGCATTTGGATGCAAAATATACAATCCATTTTCACCTTCCTCCCTACTCCCCTTTCCCTAATTGCTCTGGCTAGAAATTTTAATACTATCCTGAAGAAAAGTGGTGATAGCAAATATCTTTGTTTTTTCCCTGGTCTTAGAGGAAAAACTTTCATTCTTTCACCACTGAGGTTTTTCCAAATGTTTCTTTATCATGTTGAGGAAATCTATTCCTGGCATATTGAGTTTTTTAAAATTATGAGTAGGTGTTGGAATTTGTCAAATGCCCTTTTCTGTACAAACTGAAACGATGCTGTTTTTCCCTTCATTTTGTTCATGTGGCTGACAATGAGCTCTCCATCTGCCCCTGAAGGAGTTCTACAGTAATGTTATCAACAGGAAAGGTGTATACCTTTCCTACTCTTGTTCACTACTCTGTTCACACTACAGCAGGTCTTAGCCAGTGCAGTAAGACTCAAGAAGGAAATAAAAGGGATACACATAGGAAGGGAATAAGTTCAAATTAAAATTACTTTGATATTCTAGCTCACACCAATCAGACTAAGCTACAAAGTGAGTTTCAAGACAGACAGAGCTAAAACAGTGAAACCCTGTCTCAAAAAACCATAAAAGAAAAAGAAATGACAAAAAAAGGTTGGACATGGGAGAGGGGAAACCTTATTCACTGTTGGAGCAAGTGCACACTGGTACAGCCACTATAGAAACCTTATTCACTGTTGGAGCAAGTGCACACTGGTACAGCCACTATAGAAACCTTATTCACTGTTGGTGCAAGTGCACACTGGTACAGCCACTATGGAAATCAGTGTGAAGATTCCTCAAACACTAAAATCAGAAGTAACATGTGAGTCCAGCTTTATCATTCCTGGGCATATACGCAAGGAAGTCTCTATGCTACCACAAAGATGCGTGCACACCTCTGTTTAGAGCTGCTCTGTTGACAATAGCATCATCTCAACTGATGGACCGTGAGAGCATGCTACATTTGAACTTTAAATCAGCTGTTAAGAAAACTGAGCGGCTTTAAGGGAGAGAGGGTAACAGAACACTTATGAAATGAATGCTGGGGATGGGCAAAGGAAAGAGATGCAGGCAGTGAGACTGAGGGAGGGGGACTAGAACAAAGTTTGCATGAAAAAGCCACTAGGAAATCTGCTACTTTGTAAGTTTATTAAAAATAAATAAAACAAGGGATGGAGAGACGGTCCACTGCAAAGTTTGAGTGCTGGAACCAACACGACAAGGTGGTTGTCCTATGCATGTCTCTAACTGCAGTTCTGAGGGATCTGGCATCCTCTCTTGGCTTTCATGTGTCCATAATTATGCATATTCTTACAAACATATATATATATATATAAATACATATATCTTACATGTAAGAAACTTAAAAAAAAAGTTCCAGCACAAAACCTTACCTATAAAGTATTTGTCAGCGAGACCCAAGACCCTTAAAACAGTACATGTTTTTATTGGTTGCTCACCAGAACTCCATTAATGGTAAGATTCTTTTGGTGAAGACACCATATGTTTTGGATACAGAACATACAACAATCAAGCTATAACTGAGCTGGAAGTGTTTTCTCTACGTAGCTGCACTCACAGCTGGTGTAGGAGGGTCATCTGTCAATGTGTTACTTTCATTGGTTAATAAAGAAACTATCTTGGCCTTTTGATAGGACAGCAGCTTAGATAAGCGGAGTAGACCAAACAGAATGCTGGGAGAAAGAAAGCAGAGTAAGGCAGACACCACAAAGCTCCCGCCCCAGATGGACGTAGGTTAGAATCTTCCCGGTAAGCCACCACCTCATGGTGCTACACAGATTATTAGAAATGGGTTAATCAAGATGTGGGAATTAGCCAATAAGAGGCTGGAACTAATGGGCCAGGCAGTGTCTAAATGAATACAGTTTCCATGTAATTATTTCGGGTGTATGCTAGCCAGGCGGAACAGAACAAGGAGTCCGCACCTCATTACTACAGGGATAAAAGGTCTGCCCACTACACCCAGCATATTACACTTCCTCCCTTACTCTTTAGTAACTTAGTTTACTGGTGAACCAAAATGTCACAATTATATTGCTAAACATTCAGGTAGTTCTGCAATTTTATTCTTAGAAACTATTCTTTAATCATTTGGGTACAGTTCTAGAGGAAAAACCTCACAAAAACATTCAACCATGTAGATTTTTATATAGCAAATAATAAACTTGAGCTTAAAAGAGACAGGCTGTTTTTTCTTGACAACATGGGAACTGAGAGTAAAGAGGATAAGGTTCAAGTTAGATTCTAAAAATTCTGAAAAAACTTAATGGAGAGCTGATGAGAAAAAAAGTTAAATTATTGCAGGGGTACAAAGAAGAACCAATTATATTAAGAAATACTGTACATTTGGTGAGGATAACCAGGAATGTATGTATGTATGTATGTATGTATGTATGCATGTACGTTCATGTTTCTGGATATATTTCTTCCTCTCTCCTTCAGCTAGCACTGGTCATCTGAACTCTATGTTGAGAGGACCATGGCTCTCTGAACTAGGGTCTGGAAACAGGCCAGGAGAGAGAAGAAAGAGGTATGACAGCAAGGCCACAGTGGCTGATGTTTACACGAGTGGAGTCAGAGCAGAGGGGACTGACAGACAACTGAGGAGTGAGATAAAGTTAAGTCGATAGAGAAGTTCTTTGTGGGAACAAGGAGAGGAAAACCAAGGGTAGTCATGGAAAACTGTTTCAAGTAACTAAAAAGTCAGGGTTTGCTTAAGAGTGAAGCTTGAAGCAGGAATTGCCAGTCACCTACTGTGAGTAAAGAGGGGAAGAGTGCTGTAGGAAGTCTTACAGCCAGTGGTTCCCCGCCCACTGGGCGTGGCATCTTATAAGACATGAACTGATGTAGAGCATGCGTCCTCCCTTTCTGGTTGCTGGATTCGGTTTCTGTTCTCTGTTTAAGCAGAGGATTCTGATTTGTGAGTTTACCCCTAAATAAATAACAATCTATTTCTCAATTCTGAGCTAGTGTGGGATTTCTTTTAAGCGTCCTTCCACAGAGGAGGGCAAATCCTGAGCCAAGCATTAATCCCTTTGTTTGAGAAAGAAGATATATATGTGGCTTTTGCTTTTCTTAAAAGCTTTTAAGAATTCCTAAATCTTTTTTTAAAGATTTATTTTTGTACTTTATGTGTATGAGTGGTTTGCTTTCACATATTTTCAGTGTACCATGTGCTTGTAGTGCTGCAGAAGACAGAAGAGGATGATGGATTCCCTGGGACTGGAGTTACATAGTCTGCCATGTGGGTACTGGGAGCTGAACCCAGGTCCTCTGCAAGAACAGCCAGCGCTCTGCCCACACACAAGTTATTGATTTACTTATTTAATTTTTAGTTTTTTCGAGACAGGGTCTCTCTGCAGCTTTGTACTACTAGTTCTTGTAGACCTGGCTGACCTCAAACTCAGAGATCTGCCTGCCTCTGCCTCCCAAGGCTCCCAAGAGCTGGGATTAAAGGTGTGCACCACCACCATCACCTGGCTAGATACAAATTTCTTAATGACTTAAAATCCATTCCACTTTTTGCAGGAATCACCAACTTGGAAAGTTTGATATACTTCTAAAGCAGTCATGAGAGATTTTTCAGAATAAGAGTGTCACGTTAAATGATTGTGACTTGTAAACTCAAGAGATTACACAATTTCTTTAAAGTTGCTAAGTAAACCCAAAGCCCCAACCATAGCCTGCCAAGATCTTGGTTAACAGTTCAAAAATTTCATTCCTTTTCTTTTGTTGGGCCATCTGTCTGTGCAATCATCTTAAAGTGAAGCCAACACCTTTGTTGACTTTCCGAGCCAGACTCCTGAAGTTACAGGGGCTTTTTTACCTTGAGTGGTGAGCTGCCCCTCCTGAGCCTGGACACAACGGAGCTCTTCAATGGTTTCCTTCAGAGAATCCCTTTCTGTTCTTAGCCTCTAAAGTAACATAAAGCAAAGGTTAGCTCTACAGATTTACTAAGCAGTCATCGAGGCCTTATCCAGGAAGAAGATAAACAGTGGACATGGACTTATTTTTAGTTTTGATCTTTTATGGAGATCATGGGAGTAGAAACGGATGAAAATGATTATCTTTTTTATCTTCTATCTTTACAATACCAAGTATCTATTATTACACGGTAATACACATTCATGTTAAGCATGAGACACAAAGCTAATTAGTCCATCCTTAACTATGTTCTTAACATTCTTTTCATTCAATAAAGAGTCAGGATGAAGAATAAATACTCATAAACTGTGAAAAGCAGAAATAATGCTAAACAACAGTGCAGCAGTGTCCTCCATACTAGTCACACAGCAAACAGAAGGGCTATACATAGAGGAAGTCAACAGAAGAAGTAAAGAGAGACCAATGATACAAATATATGTATATTAGAGAAATGAGAATTGGAGTAAAACTAGTCCTAGCTTTTATTTATTTCTGAGAAAAAGAGAAAAATTGTGACTTAAAAGTAGAACAATTAAAAGAAGGAATTAATACAGTCAAAAATTAAATTTCAGTCTTAATGTTAGCACTTCTGAAAAACAAAATGCCCATTACATACTCACATCTTTTTCTTTCTGAAGACCATCAACTTTTTCTTTTAGCCGCTTATATTCAAAATCTAATTTATCTGCTTTCTTTGATTCATCGGATAATCTATTTTGCAGCTCTACAACCTGATACAAAATACATAAATTATATAAAAATGTTAATTTTTATAATTTGAAACATTAGAAATGATCACAAGGTGGTAGAATATAGTTCAATGGTAGAACACATGCTCATTAGCGTGCACAAAGCCTTAAATTCAATCCCCAGCATGCCCTCCCCCAACTAAACAAAATTAAAAAAAAAACATTATTTTCTTCTACAGGTTTATGAAAACTCTATTCCTACCATACTTGACTAAACGTTATACAATCCATCAGTCTAATAGAAGGGAGAGAACTAGGAACTAAAATCTGCATAGGTAAGAGAGGCTCCTAAACTAGAGTCATCTAGAACAAAGGTATCAATTATCAGAGGGCCTTCATTTCTAGCAAAAACACTGAGAAGCAAAGAAGTAGGAAGGAAAGATAGGAGGAAATGCTCAATTACATAGCTAATATTATAAGAGGCTAAAACCCCTGTGGGAAGTTCATGCAGATAATATGGATAATGAGAGGTGCCAATGCCAATAACAGGAACCTAGAGCTTTGAGTATAACAGGAATCAAGTGGTCATTAAATAGTCCTGGTTGTAAAGAGTAAGGAGAAAAAAAGATCAGTCTGGGTATGGAGGCAGCGTTAGGCAGATCTCTGTAAACTCCTGACACGCCAGGGCTACGTGTGTCTCAGGGGGAAGGGAGGGATAGATGGAGGGAAGAAGAAAGGAAGATCCATCAGCAGGCAAGAAAAATGAGTGCTCTGGAGTTAAAAGGTATTGTAACCCTGGCCAGCTGATATTTAGATGTGTGTTTTCACTACTTGTTTGTCTGAGGAATGCAAACACAGGCAAGAGAAGTGGTTCTGCATGCTAATGCTGGAAAACATGGCTCGAGGAAACAAACACTGACTGGAGAAAAACTGCAATTCAGAGCCATCACAGTTCCTCAAAGAACCAATGAAAAAGCAAGACTGAAATTATGCAGAAGATGAGAAAAAGCTGCAATTAATCAAGGTCTATTACCAACAATTACAGTTTTATAAGTTCATCAAAGATTTCAGGTTGAAACTGTCAAATATAACACATCCACTAGATTTACAGGAGTGGATGTCTGGGATCCCAGCACTCATCAGGCCTTGGCACAGGCTGTGTGGCAGGGCAAGTCTAGTTAAGGTACACAGGCAGACCCTGTCTCAAAAATACCGGAGGTGAAGGATATTGTTCAGTAGGAGAACGCTTGCCCAGCACACACATGGTCCTGGGGTTCTTCCTTAGACAGGAGACGCAGAGGAAGAAGTACACATTTTATGAACATGAGACTGTGAGGGCCAGCCATGATAATCTAAGTCTGGGCAGAAAGGAAGTTCTTTACTTCCTTCAACCATCATCACCTGGGACTCTGGCCATCCATGAATTTAAATGGAGTCTGGAGTCTCAATAGTTTACCCTGAGACAATGCCTGGCAGGCCCAGATTACCGATTCCCACCCAAGAGCTGACCATTCAAAGGAAATTCCTGGCATTCCAAGCACTGTAGATAGAAACACCTGCCAGCACTTCACCAGGACACCCCTAGACAGATGTCAGCCAATCAGGGGTCCTGAACCTCAGAGACTCCTCACCCCCACCTTTACTACTATAAAAACCCAATTCTAATTGAGCTCGGGGCTCTCCAGATATTCCAATATGTTGGTCTTGCGGAGAGACCGAGTTTGCAAACTTGATTAAAATAAAGGCTCTTTGCTTTTACATATGGGACTTGGTCTCCTTTGTTTGCTTTTGTGGGGACCCACGGATTTGGGCATAACAAGACCATGACCAGAGCAACCACACACAGAGAACTTGCAGAAAGAAAAATATCATTAAAAAAGTATTAATAATATGATTGTGAATAGGCACAGAAAATTGGTATTCTATGCAGTTTGTTATAATATTTCTAGATATATATTTTCTCTTAATTCTAAATTAGATATGCTTTATTAGTTCCAAAAATGTTAAGTGTTTTTCCCTTCAAATAATATTCTACATTTCTTTCTACTTTCTCCTCTAGATATATTGCTGCTCATTTCATATTGGATATGTTTTAAGAACAAGTATTTTTTTGGCTATACTTTTGAGTAATTTCAATCCACATTAAAATTCAGTATTTCAGGAAGTTCCTTAAGTTTGCCATATAATTGAAACTTTTATAATAGAGCACTGAGAAGAAAATATATCAACCAAGGAAATTTGGTAACCACTCATGATGTACGGGTTTAAGGCTTTTGCTCAATAGTCTGATGATCTGAGTTCGTTACCCAGAACCCACATGGTGAGAGAGCAGATTCCTGCAGGTTGTCCTAGGACCTCCATATGTATGTTAAGTCACACCTATGTCCCCAGCAATCAAATAAATAAAGTGTAATAAAAAGAAAATAAATATAAAAACAGTAAAGAATCATGCGGTGGTTAAGTAAGAATGACCTCTACCAGCTCACACATTTGAATGCTTAGTCACCAGGAGTGGAATTCTTGAAAGATTAGAAGGAATTAGCAGGTGGCCTTGTAGGAGTAGGTGTGGACTTGTTAGAGAAAGTGTGTCACCAGGGGTGGGGGTGGGGTGGGGTAGGCTGTGGGGTTTCAGAAGCTCAAGCCAGGCCCAGTGGCTCCCTATCTGTTCCCGCTGCCTGCAGATCAGGATGCAGAACTCTCAGCTACTTCTCCAGCACCATGTCTGCCTGTAAGCCACCATGCTCCCCACCACGATGATAATGGGCTAAACCTCAGGAACTGCAAGCCCCTAATTAAATGCTTTTTTTTTTTTTTTTTTAGGAGTTGCCTGGTAATAGCGTCTCTTCACAGTGACTAAAACAAATCACAAAAATAAAACTTGGCTTTCACTCGATTTTGGCCAAAAACCCTGGAAGTGACAAAGTTTTCAAAAGCTGTGTGTTGTGGAGTCGCCCAGAATAATTCCGCTTGTGTTCTCTTACCTGCCTCTTGTATGTCTCAAGCTGACCTCGGGCTGCATTAGCCTTTCTTAATTCTTCCTCTAGACTGACAGTGTTCTGCATGTATATAGTATTCTTTTCTTCTAAGAGTTTAACCTGCCGCCTCAAATCCCCAAGGTCTTCCAGCTTCTTCTTATAAGATTCGACTTGACCTTCTAGTTTGGACACTTTATCAGAAGAGTGTCTGAAAGGAGACGGGAAATTCGTCAGAAATAGTCCACAGCTATAAAGCTGTTTCAGACAAAGTTCAAACAGGAGACAATATCAGGACTTAACATGTATTAAATCATAAAATCTAAAGTGAATCTAGGTTTTTTTTTATGTTAAGAAAAACAATTATAACCTAAATTATGAAAAATATGTCACTAAGAATGTCTAAAATGTAAATAAAGTCATCAGGAGGGTAACCAGCAAAATCACACTTAGCAGAAAATTAAAATAAATTGTGGAATGTTCAAATGATTTGGCAATTACTATGCTACCAATGAACCCCAGTTAAGATTTCAGTAGAGAAATGGAGATAGAGAATGGCAAATTTTAGGGGCTTGAGGAAACTGTAAATTTAACATATGTAGTCTTTGGGTGTGACTGCAAGGAGGCCCGGAGAGTCAACCATGTGCAGGTGCTTTCCTCTTGGTGGCAGGACTCAAGCCATCTAGCAATGGGGTGTGGTGGGCAGCAGACAAATGGGAAAGCGTCATAAAAACATTTAACAACTATGAGAGAAGAGGGAGACAGGGCTATATACTATGAGGGGTGGGCCAGGGGTAAGTGAAAAAGATCCCTAATACGTAATAGGACTACATTATAGAACTAGGTAATTTTCTCTGTACATGTCAGTATTCTAAAAACAAAAAGGGATCCCAAAGAGGATGAGGCTGTGAAAGAAATAGAATGGCGAACAGTGAGGTACTATACAGAGAATACTTGACAGTATTTAAGACAAAGACTAAGGGCCTGGAGGGCTCAGAATCAAAGAAGAGTAGCAAGAAGTAAAAGTTAGTGCTGGGTAAGTGAAGTGATGGCCACAAGTGCATAGCATTTACCTGATATCTGTCCTCAACTCAAGTGTTAATAGAGCCTCTTAGATATTCACCAAAACTTTAAATACATGTGTGCTCACAGATGCCAGCGTTTGTAACATCTGCAATGGAGCTCTTCTGGATGGCAGTGGATCTGATATTCCTGAAGGGAAACCGTTTACCTGAGAACGTCTATTTCATCCTTTAGAGACTGAGCTTCATCTGCCAAGGTGGTTAGCTCATCATTCTGCTGCCGAAGCTCAGAGATTTCCTTTTCTAACTCTTCACAGCGTATCCGATAATCATCTTTTGCTGCTTCTAGTCTGTAACCAAAACAAGATAAACACTATTCAGTGCCTCGTAATTCTACTTAGAAGAAGACAAAGCATGTGGACACTCTTCTTGACTCGTCTTTCTCCTCTGCAGTCACGACCACTCACGTCACATCTGTCATGTGACTCACATGTGCTGGGATTAAAGGTGTAAGCAACCACCACCTGGTTCTGTTTCTCTTTGCAACTGGATCAATCTAGAGTAGCCCAAGGTGGCCTTGAACTCACTGAGGTCCTTTGCCTCTGTCTCTGTGCTGGGATTAAAGGTGTGACCGCTGTCTGGCCTCTATGGCTAACTAGTGGCTTAAGCACTCTGATCTTCAGACACATTTTATCTGTTAGAGTACAAACAAAATATCCTGGCTCCCTCTATTAGCTTTAAAAGACTGTTTAAAATTTAAAAAATAGGTTGTAATGAGTGGTCTTTTACCGGAATGTTTCCTCTTGCAGCTGCTCTAACTGAGTCTGAAGTTGCAAATGTCTTCTTCCTGCTGGACTGTTGGGATCTTCTATAGAATCTGATTGATTGAGTCGTTCCATTAATATCTGATTTTCTGCCAATAAACTACTTTTCTCCTCCTGCAGTGCTGCAACCTGTTGGAATAAGAACAATGGTTATTCAATTCAGACTCTTGTGAATTACCATTATGAATTAAAGCATCTGTCTGATTATTTATTTTTGAGATAGCCCTTACGGATCTAGAACTCACTATGCAGACCAGGCTGGCCTCTGTCTGTTGTAGATTTGTCTGCTGAGTGCTACCTCACTTGGACAATTAATCTCTATTGTAAACATCTACATTATTTTGAATGTTATTCATACAAAGTAATATATAAGAGTAAAATTTTTCAAAGTTAATTTCTATTTATTTTGAGATAGAATCTTGCTACATTGTTCAGGTACTTCCAATTCTTGGACTCAAGTGATCCTCCTGCATCAGCCTCCCAAGCGGCTGGGATTACAGGTCTAGGCCATCATACCTGGCTTTACTACACCAATGATATACAGATGGTAAATAAGCACACAGAAAGATAATCATCAATAGTCGCCAAGTAAATGCAAATTGAAGTCACAAAATATCAATTCAACTCTCATGACGATGGATGAAATTTAAAAAAGATTGAACCAACTATTGGCAAAGATGAAAATAAAGTCTCAGATACTTGTGGTAAGAATACAAACTACAAGTCCAGCCTGGTCTACAGAGTGTGTTCCAGGATAGCCAGTGCTACACAAAGAATACAAACATTTCAAATACTTTGGACGACATCGATCCTCTGGACTCACAGAAAAAGCCAGATGCTGCCATGCATGCTTACAGTCCCATGAGGGACTGTGACAGGTAGATCCTGGAGCTTGCTGCCCAGCCAGCCTAGCAAAACTGTGGGCGTCAAGTTTGTGGAGAGACCCTGTCTCAAGTGAATATGGTGGGCAGTAAGAGAGCAGAACAGCAAGACATTCAACATTTCCCTCTACCTTCTCAGGCACAGGTAAAATATCCCAGTGCCCTGCAACACACACAAACAGAAAGACTCCCACCCATACGGAAAGTGTGAAAGCGAGTTCACTGGCACAATATTATTTCTTCTGGAATTTAACATTCAGTTATGAGTTTAATTAAATTCCAGAAAAGACCGGTAACATCTTTATACAGCATACTCTTCTAAATCAGAACCCTACTTGCTTGTTTGTCTTTTTTGTCTTATAGGTTATACTGCAGTGAAGCTGACCATGTGACAGTCCCCAGCACATTTGGTAGTATGTGTGGTGCACACACAGAACTTCTCACCTGCATATCCAATTCATGGCACCTTTGAGCAATTTCTTCCTTTGCTGACAAAGCTTCGTTTAGTTCCTCTGTAGTTTTCTTCAACTAGTTAGAAACAAACAAAATTTCACTTTAAAGTAAAGTTACATAGGTGTAACACAGAATTAAAACATTTTTATTTCTGGGGAGGTAGTGTAGGAAAATCAAGAACCTCTTGGTAAAGATGGAAAATAAGTCACTTATTTTTCTTTTGTTTTTGGGTTTTGCTAAGACAAGATCTCACTATACAGCTCAGACAGTCTGAAATTCCCTACATATACCAGAAAGAATGGCCTCAAACTCAGAGTTTGGCCTCATGAGTGCAGGGATTGGTAAGTATGCCATTACATCTGGATTATTCTGATTCTTAACATCAAACATTTCCACGTATATTCCCTTATTATAATAAATTCTAAGTTAGCAAATTATAAAAACACTGATTAAAATAAAATTTTGTGTCTTTATTTCATATATATAAACTTCTGTCTAATAAAGATACCCAAAAATGTACCCGCAATAGCAAAGAAACAATACCACAAATAGAAAGGCAAATTTTAACTTAGGTTAAAATTATATCATATCCAAAGACTTTCTTATATAACACTGAGAAACCCTGAGCCAAAAATAAGAGAAAGTAAAAGATACAAAGTTCTGCTCATGCAGAATACTGTAAACTAAAAATTGACTACAACAACATTTCATGCTTAAAAATACATAGCAAAGTTCTTTTCAAATACAGTTGTACCTAGCCAAGTGTGGCAGCACACTCCTTTAATCCCAACACTTAGGAGTCAGAGACAGGTTGATCTCTGTGAGTTTGAGGCCAGCCTGGTCTATGCGGCAAGAATAAGAATAATATAAAAAGAAAATAATGACTAGAAAAGAGGGACTATCACAAATTAAATTTGTTTTAAAGTGGGCTATGCAATACTACCATATTTTTTCTGTACCACATTAATTCATTTCTCTGGGTGTGTGCATGTGTGTACACACATGCTCACCAGAGTGTGCATACCAAAGTCAGGACAATAACGTACTGTGTCCTCTCCTTTTACCAACTGGTTCCTGGGGAAAGAACTTAGTTCATCATACTTGCCAGCAAGTGTCCTTCCTTGCTGAGCCACCTCACTGGTTCATGCAGTACTACTTTTACTACAAAGTCTAAGCTTAATTATAATGTATACTATCAATTAGCTTAAGTTCTTAAATTTAGGCAAAATATGAAGTATTTTATCAATGTATTCCCTAAGCAATTTCAGCTGCGTTCTTCTCACTAATACTTGAAATTCACCTGTCTCAACTGTTTCATAAATAAAGACAATTATATACCTGGCGATCCAGATCAGCATAGGCATCATTTCCAGCAGAGACAGGAGACTCTTTACTCATTAGCTGAAATTAAGATTTAAACCATTATGAGGCAAAAGACATTCTTGGCAATACAACAAAATGAGCACCCAGAAACTACTAAAGCAATAAGAAATTAAAGCACATAAGCAAGCAACTGTTTTCTGTAATTAATTTTTCTGTTTTTCACTCTAAGTGATGTCTACACTTAAAATTAAACATGTAAAATCTGGTGCTCATTTTCTCTGAGAGCTCTAGTTGTAAGAATCAAGCATAACTTATTCTTAACACTGTGTTAGGAGCATGGCTAGACATTTAAAAACAGGGACTTTTCAATAATAAGAGCGACACCAAGTACTTCTTTCATTCTAAATAATCAGTGTGGAAAGGGGGGGTCATGTTCTCCTGTGGTGTGCTCCACCTGCACTCCGGCAAGCAATCCTAATTAACAGTGGGTCACAAAACAGCTGCAGCAACAAAACCCCCGAAGTTATGAAAACAGGAAAGGGATTTGCTGGGAAAGGGTTCAGTGAGGGAAGAATCAGAGAGTGTAATCGGGGTACGGAGTGTCAAAGGATCAAAATGTATTCATGTATAAAACCATCAAAGGATAATTATATAGCAATATATAAAATCTGTACAGTGTTCAGAGAGAATATATCTAACTCAAAGGTGGGGAGGAGACATATAGTTTTCTCTTCTTCTCCTGTCTTCATCCTTATCACAACACAGCAGCTACTGCTCTAGGAAAAGCTAGACATCCGTTCTAAATGCACCTTCTCTCATCTCAGAGGCATTTTATCTGATTTTATGCAGACCCATTCCTCAGTTTCACTGAGCTCCCAGTGCGATCTTGCTTTACTATTGCCAGCTTTCTTGCTTATTATTCTTAGACTTTATAGTTTACAGTTTAATTCTCTTTCTTTTGCTAACATCTTCTTTGGGGACTTTCTCCCCTTACATTAGGACTCCAAAGCTCTAGCTTTTGTGAATGTGCTTGTTTCCTCCTCTTCTTGTTAAGACATGGTTTCTTTCTTTTTTTTTTTAATGAACATTATTCATTTATTTTGTTAAGGTAGAGCCTACACTCACAAAAGCCTTACCAATTGGAATTTTCCACGAGGTGGTTTGTATTAATAAATACATGAAATATATCTTATTTTGTTTATTCTATGTTTGATAAACCAAACATTAAGACATGGTTTCTTATGAACCAGACTGGCTTTGAATTCCCCACGTAGCTGAGAATGACTTGAGCTTCTTCTTCTTCTTTTTTTGAGCTTCTTTTTTAAAAGAATTATTTTGTTTATTTAAAAAATGAAAGACTACGTGATGTACATGAGTGTTTGTCTGTGCATCACATGCATTCCTGTTACTTATGGAGGCCAGAAGAAGGCAGTTGGATCCCCCTAGGACTACAGTTTCAGACAGTTTTGAGCCATCACAGGACTGCTGGGAATCAAACCCAGGTCCTGCAGAAGAGCAGTCAGTGCTCTTAACCATGTAGCCATCTCTTCAGCCCCCTTTCAATCCTTTTCTAATTCTCATCCTGCTTAACTCCTTGATTCTATAAAATCCCACTCCCAGGTGAGATTTTTTTTTTCCTATGGCCCAATCTACAAAACCAGTAGCACTTCTTCCCCTTTTTCTTCATAGGAAATTCTTCCTATCCAAAGCCACTATGGCTACCTAGGCTCTTCATGTAGTCTCTTACAAGCTCCCCCAAAGCCCTGTTCAATGTATTACCAGTCTTCTTGCTTATAAAACCTTCAGTCAGGTGGTGATGGTGCACACCTTTAATCCCAACACATGAAAGAGGTAGGAAGATCTCTGAGTTTGAGGCTAGTCTGGTCTACAGAGTGAGTTCTAGGACAGCCAATGCTACACAAAGAAACCCTGTCTCATAAAAGAACAAAAAACAAAACCCAAAAGCCTTAACCTTGATCTCTTTTTCTTGTGTGCTCTTCCTATCAACATCTAATTAGTAAAAAAGACTCCTTGAATAGCTATTCTTGGGCTGAGACATAGCTCCCTAGTAGAGCATACTTGAGGACCTGGGTTTGATCTCTAGTACCATCTGCTACCCCAGGCCCCCGAATTACTAAACTTCAAGTGATACTTCTCTAAAACATAGAACAGCAATGGCCAACAAAGGCATAAAAGGATGCTTATTATTACCAGTCACTATGGAAATACAAAACAAGCAAACAAACACAGTAAATACAAAGTACTACTTATACTTACCAGGAAAGCAATCCCATAATTCCATTTCTGGATACTGAGGCTCTTTCAGATCACAATGAGGTAATATACTCAATACCTAGTTTCCTAAGTTAAAATGCATTGAACACATCTAACCTACTGGATAAACAGATTCATAACATGCCACTCTCTTAAATATTGCTAACCTTTATGACTAAGTAGCTAGATTCCAGAAAATGTAGCACACTGCTGCTGCTACATCATGTAGGTCTTTTTCCTTTCCCTGGACTTTCTCCCCTCTCTGCAGGGTCTCACTTAGGCTGACCTTGAATTGGCAGGTCCTTGATTTCTCCCTCCTGAGTGCTAAAATGACAGACTTTCACCAGACCAGCATGGCCAGCAGGTCTTGCTTTCCGTTTGCTTGTTGGACTCATCTCTCTTCTTACTGCCCCTCATCCTTCCAAGTCCAGTCTCACCCCTCTGAGTGGCCTTATGTAATGTCCCTCCAAAGCTGTTCCCTGTTCTATATTCTTCCCCCACTCCACGGTACTTTTAAAACAATATGAATTCTTTGTGACCGTTTTCTCTCTGAGACTCTCAGAGGGAGACACACTATCAGAGAGCATATCTTAGTATTCTTAGTAGCTGCCTCAGTCTCTAGTGAACATAAGGTTTGAACTGTTTGCTAAATGAATAAATTCAATATCCACACAAAAGACACAATATACTTAAAACTTAATTAGAATACAGGTTATACATAATAAAAAGAGATTTGTTTTGTTTTTTCAAAACAGGGCTTCTCTTTGTAACAACCCTGTCTATTCTGGAACTCAATCTGTAGACCAGGCTAGGCTCGAACTCACAGAGATCCATGTGCTTCTGCCTTCCAAGTGCTGGGATTAAAGTTGTGCACCACCACTGCCCAACAAAAATAGAATTATTTCTTAAAACCATTATCTCTCTTGCCTGAGCTCTTCTTTTCTCCTTTAATTCGTCACGAATGAGTGCAGAGCTCTCATCAACGTACCTCTTGAATGGCTGTCATGACAACATGCTGAACAGACTCCTCCATCATCATAATGGCTTGAATGTACTCTGAAAACAAGAATAACCTGGAATGTCACTGTTCAAGTTAAAAGATGGTCAAGACTTGAAGTTTAATACTCTATAAACCCTTGCAAGCAGTTTTCTGTGTTTGGATTCTTCCTCAGAATCCCCTGTTCATGGCTACTCTGCCCCAAATGTGTGCCACAGGTGAGCAAAGTCTGAACACTGAACAGCACTAGCTGTTTCCCAAAAGACATTCTGTTCTTGCTTCACATGTGTTCATTTGGTTGAGACTGGGTCTTGTAGCTGCCCTCCACTCACTTTGAATCCTAGGGTAGCCTTGAACTTGTGATCTTCCTGCCTTATCTCTCAGAGCACTTGGATTATGGAGATCTATGGTCTCACTTGACTCCTCTCACCTTTTCCTGCAAAGCTGATGCTGTAGGCAAAGGTCGGGGAACAGAGCTTCGGCATGAGTACAAATCAGAGTAAGTCAGGCCCAAAGTCAGGGCAAAAAAGGACCACATCACCTTTTCTACACTCTGAAGGTTGACGTTTTCTTTGTGACAATGTAAAAATACTCTGGTCTTCTGTGACATCAAAGCACTAAGTTATATAAATTCTCAAGTTTGTTTACTATAGAAAGAAATAACTATAACAAATTTAAGACAGACACTGAACCCGTAATTGAGCTACTATATGCTCCTGGGCTTTAAACTACTATCCTGCATCTTTATATGAAAAGAAGAACCACATTATTCTCAATTTCATCCAGGCCCAAACCAGGAGGGTCTCGGTGAAGTCACTCTAGAAGTAATAACTTTTTCCTCTGACACAGCCCTGTTAATAGTTCTCATTATTTCCAGATCCAAAAATGGATGACAGAAGTATTACATCAATGGACATGACAGGCACCCTAAAGTTATAGTACAGAGGCTCTTACGTATGAAATGTACGACATTACCATTAGACCTATCTACTGGAATGCTGAACATAAGCCTCTCCCCAGCAGATAACCTGGTTTTTGTTTTAAGTATTTTAACAACACCACTGTGATACATGACATCAAACACAAGAACTAGCAAGTCTAGGATGATTGTCAGGTCCTCAATATCAAAGACTATGAATGAGCATGGAAGAGAAGACACCATGGCACTGGTATGGGGAAGGCAGGCTTAATGGCAACTACTGGGAATGAGGTGAGCAACAGTAAAAAGAGGTCAGGACATTAGTAGGTATGAGAGGGGAAGCGTTAGTTAAGAAGCGGTGTTGCCACGTCAAGGCCCTTCCCCGCGAACACCGTAAAGTACTAAATGATAAGATGGTGATGACAGCTAAATTAATATGCACTACTTTAAACCTTAAAGTTAAAAATATAATTATGTATGATTATTTGGTACATACCCATGAGGCATTGCTAGAGAATGAGGCATACAATGTAAGGAGGCTTACATTCAATTTTATTTGTTCCAAGTTTTTTTTAGTATGATTTAACACAAAGAATTGAAGGCTTAAAGGCTGAAGAAATATGTTTTCCCACCCTATATCTAGCCCATTCATTACAACTAAGAAATTTGACAAATTCTGTAATATTTATAAGTCCTAAGCTTCTAATCTATAAAGGTATTTTTGTTCTGTTATTGTTTAGTAGAGGAGCAGACTGAAGGCAGACGCCATGGCTGGTGGATGGCTCAATAAGTAAAGGTGCTTGCCAAGCATGTCGGGGGACTGCACTTTGACCCCAGGATCCAGAGTGGAAAGAACGAGCTGACTGTCACAAAATGCCCACTGACCTCCACATGCACTCCGTGGCACAGGTTGTGCTCCCCATAAATAAATGTTAAAAAAAAAAAAACAAAAAACAAACTCAGGCATGCCTTTAATCCCAGCACTCAGAAGGCAGAGGCATATGGATCTCTGTGAGTTCAAGGCCAGCCTGGTCTACAGAGCCAGTTCTAGGACAGCCAAAGCTGATGCTTCACAGAGAAACCCTGTCTCAGAAAACCAAAAAGAAAAAAATGTTAAAGAAAAATCCTACCAACCCCTAACAAACCCAAAACACACAGTTGATGTTATTATCAGTGTGCCTTCTACTATTTTTTAATGATTTCTCATTTTATTTTTTAAAGAAAACAAACTATCTTTTTTCATTTTATATACTAATCGCAGTTTCCACTCCCTCCCATCCTCCTATTCCCTCTGCCTACCTCCACCCCAGCCCCATCCACTCCTCAGAGACGGTATAAGGCACATTGCTGTGGGGAAGGTCCAAGGCCCTCCCTACTATATCTAAGCCGAGCAAGGAATCATCCAAAGAGAATAGGTTCCCAAAAAGCCAGTACATGCAGTATGGATAAATCCTGGTGCCACTGCCAGTGGCCCTGCAGTCTACCCCAGCCATACAACTGTCACTCACACTCTAGTTTGGACCTATGCTGGTTCCTTCTCTGTCTGGCTGGAGCTGCAACTCCCATTAGCTCCAGCCCCATCAGGGATCTGACCTCTTTGCTAATATTCTCACTCCTCCCACTCTTCAGCTGGACTTTGGGAGCTCAGCCCAGTGCTCCGCTCCGGTGTGCCTTCTACCATTAATCTGTCTTAAAATTTACCACTATTTTATTTGCCCCAATTAGAGGTCAAAAAAGACAAACAAATACATATAGTCAAGCTCTCAACTACTGTTTTAAAATTTTCCAAATGAAAACAATGGCTAAATACAAAGCAAATGTGGACACAGTTTCATTCAGTCTTCATAACTAAGAGATTTTGGAGATAAGGACAAAGGCAGAGACCATCTCATCCACAGGTAGATAGTCGATTACTGAAGCACACTTCTGAGAGCCCCTACTCTGTACCAGAGGATATTTTTTACTTATAAAGATTGTGGGCGTGCTCCCAGCCGCCCCTTCTGCTTTCCTGTTCTCCGTGGGAACCTGTGGTTCTGTAAGTCTATTTCCCCATTAAAGCTGTATATATTATTACAATCTGTCTGCATTCATTTATGCTGCTACACTACTCTATCTACCTACACAATGCATTCACAATGACAATTAATGATTAACAATTAAGAGGCTCACTTACATGATTCTTAGCTCTCCACTGTATTCCTGACCCCAGAGAATACTGCAAATCTGGGTGAGAGATTAAGAATCCTGTTCAACTGGAACCTTCTTCCTTCCTTCCTGTCTAACTTTTATAATACTGGAACGTGCTTTACAGAGCTGTTTTAAACAGCTGTGAACTCTGCTAATAATATCACCTTGCCAGACAAGATGTGATCACTAGAGCAATAGTGGCCTGAGTGTTATGAGAGTAATCACCACTTTTTATCTGAATTTTAGCCCTGCTCCACAGTAGGAAATCATATTTGGTAATGTAATTCTGGTTAAAAGTCCATGGCTGGGGAGGTTATAGTCCCTGGATGGGGTGATCTCACTACTGTTATTTTGTTATATGAAAATGATGTCATACAGTCATCTGAATATTTACGATTATACATCAACATTAGTGCTGTTCTCACTCTTGGTCAGAAAAGCTTCTGTTTTCAGTGATTAATACAGAGACTCGCAACTGGGTAAGTGGCTGAGAGTGCTCAGTCCTAAAATGAGACCTCTGTATCATCCCTCTAGGGCTCCAGGAACAGTAAGCACTAGAGGACAGGAAAGAGTGCTGTGAGGTGCTGTCTTCCGGACACAACACAGCTGGTGAACCCACACCAATAGTGGCTATCTGGTTTAGATGGGGGCTATCAATGTGCCATCGCTTAAAAATATTTTTGTAACCAGCCTGGTCTACAGAGCTAGTTCCAGGACAGGTTCCAAAGCCACAGAGAAACCCTGTCTTGAAAAACCAAAAAAAAAAAAAAAAAAAAAAAAAAATATATATATATATATATATATATATATATATATATATATTTGTAAAAGAAATCCAGTTTAGCCGGGCGGTGGTGGCACACGTCTTTAATCCCAGCACTAGGGAGGCAGAGGCAGGCGGATCTCTGTGAGTTCGAGGCCAGCCTTGTCTACAAAGGGAGTTCCAGGACAGGCTCCAAAGCTACAGAGAAACCCTGTCTTGAAAAACCAAAAAAAAAAAAAAAGAGATCCAGTTTAAGTAAAGCAATTCTAAAAATGGGAGTCGGTTAGTGAGGTGAAGGGAAAGCCCTAAAGCCTATACTTGACTATTAAACTTATTCACTACTAGAATATGAAAAAAGTATAAAAAACAAGTAAATAGAAACTTGTTATTGTGTTATCAAGTGTGAAGGAGAAAAGAATGAATGGGAAAGAGAAGCTTTGAACTAAAAAACAAAAATCAAATCAAAACAAAAAACTTAATACAATTACAAAATACTGTTTATCATTTTGAATAGCTCCCAGCCCCCTGTTCTCCAGCAATACTTCTCGAAATTCTTTATTGACTATACAACTATAGTTCTGTGGGATTTTTAAGGCACTGAAAGATAACTTAAGTATTTCTTACTTTGAGCTATTCTTAACCAGCTGTCCTTCAGCTAACCCATGTCTAGACTCGTTATATCCTTCCTTCACAGCATTTATGGCTACTCTGTAAAAACTTGCGCTATGATTTATTTTTCCTCCACTCAAGCTCTATGCTTGAGGCTTTGTGTCTCTTTTGGTTGGTACTGTATAGCCCTCTTCCATAATATCAGTTCAAGAAGCATTTGTGACATAAATCAAACCTATGTTAGGAAGATGGCCCAGTGAGTAGGAGTGTTGTGTCAGCATTAGGACCCAAGTTAAAATCTCTAGTGCCCAAATAAAAGATGGGGACAGCAGTGCATGCCAGTGACCCCAAAGTTGAGAGCAGACAGGCAGGGTTTAGCAACTCTAGCCAGCCAGCCTGGCCAAAACAGAGAACTTCAAGTTTGTAGGACACCCTGTCATAAAGAATAAAGTGGAAAATGATAGAAGATGAAATCCAATGTCCTTCTCTGGCCTCTGCATGCAAACCCATGAGAGAGACCTACCATGAGCATGCAGCAGAACACATATATCGACGGAAACACACCTCCCAAAAGGCAAAAGTAATGCTTTTACTTTACATATAGTAAATTTGAATGTATTTTAAATAAGTGATCCCCATACAAATTAAGTCACATTTTCCAAAGGGATTAAAAAAAACTCTAAAAATAAAAATATACATTATTACCCATGTATCAAAGGTGGTCTTCAAGTAATTTTAACAATGCCACAAATTGGAGTTGCTATACACATAAAAACACTGCACTTTTTCCAATATCTGCAATCTGAATTTAACTTACTAAGAACTTACTAACTTCTCTAAGTCTAATTAGTGGTTTTACTAATTTACCATCCATATATGGTAAATTATGACTTGAGGATGACTTATCCCATAAATGCCACCTAATAAGTGACATTTTTAAAATTTGCTAGCAATGGAAAATTAGTTTTCTATTTTCTGGGTATATTAAACCACACTGAAGGATAGGTTCTATGCCAAGCACCATATGGCCACTACAAAATGAACTCAACGTATTGTTGTAGACTTTTTGTAATTTGTAAGGCACTGAAAGATAACTTGAGTATTTCTTATTCTTTTGTTTGATTGGGCAAAATACTTTTTCTCACTCATCTTTTGACTATACATTATGGTTGATCATCTTGTGTTGTTTTTTTTTTTAAATATTTTTTATGGTTTATTTAACTTTATTTTATGTGCACTGGTGTGAAGGTGTCAGATCCCCTGCAACTGGATCTTCAGAGAGTTGTGAGCTGTCATGTGGGTGCTGGGAATTGAACCCGGGTCCTCTGGAAGAGCAGTCAGTGCTCTTAACCACTGAGCCATTTCTCCAGCCTTCATCTTGTGTTTTTATTCTTTTAAGGAGAGAGAAAAAGGAGGAGACGGGAAAGGTATGAGAGGAGTTGGCAGAGGGGAAATCTTGATCAGAATATATTGTATGAAAAAGGTTTTCAATAAAATAAATTGTGGCTGTGGCAGGTATGGTGGCAGATGCCTACAATGCCAGGATACAGAGGCAGGCAGATCTCTGTGGATATGACGCCAACATGGCTTACAGAGCCAGTTCCAGGCCAACCAGGGCTACATAGTGAGACACTCAAAAAAATAAAATTGTGGCTATAAGAACTTGTAATATGAGCTGGGCGGTGGTGGCGCATGCCTTTAATCCCAGCACTTGGGAAGCAGAGGCAGGTGGATCTCTGTGAGCTCGAAGCCAACCTGATCTACAAGAACTAGGTTCCAAAGCTACAGAGAAACCCTGTCTCAAAAAACCAAAAAAAAAAAAAAAAAAAAAAACCAAAAACACCCCCAAGAACTTGTAATATATAAGTAAAAAGGAATTACTGTCTCAAAACTATCTACATCTGCATATATATTTTAAAAAAATATTAAAGTCACATTTCCATGAAATTAACATTGTTTGAAACATTATTATGTACAAGATATTGGAATTATTTACATGTCTTGTTACTTAGACCCCCTAATAATCTTGTGAGGTAGGTATTAAATGTTCATTTACTAAGAATATGAAATAAAGGTTAGATTTGCACACTATCTCTCCATAGACTTTAAGTATGCAACTATATCTTATTCTGAAGCACAAAAATATTTCCTAAGTTATCATTTTGCAAACTGAATTAATATTTTATCAATAAAATAAATATCACTATTTGTAGTTAAAATGCATTAAAAACAATGTATTGAAGTTGGGGATATAGTTCAATAGTGAAGTACATACTTAGTATGAACAAAGTCACCGGGTTCCACAGCCAACATAAAAAAGAACAACAATATAAAAACTATTCAGTTATATATAGTTATATAGTCTTAGAGAAAGGGATGGAATATGACCATAATCAAAATTATTGACTACCTTTTGGAACTCATTTAAACATGAAGACAAAGCTGTAGAAGATGGGTAGCCATAGAAAGATGCCATTTATCCTAGTGCTTGCCATACAAAGTATCAATATATATTACTTTCATTAGTTACCTTGCTTCTGTTCACAATTCACAGCACAGCCGAGAATGAGCTGGAGCATCCTTCCGAGCTCTGCTGCATCAGAATGCTCCCCAATAAGGTTCACATCAGGAAGGGTAAAATCATTAATCTGCTGTCCTAAAATCTGAATGGAGACAAAGAGATTATAATTACACTCATATTTATAGCACCAAATAAAATGTTGAATAGAAATAGATTTGTTATCACTAGAAATTCACTGTCAAGGCCAGAGTTGTTCTGCCAACCTCACTCCCAATTTCTCTTCTTATTTTCTACACCTAAATTACAACTATCACGCATCCTGGCAACTTAGTCCCTAATCTGGTACGTGGTATGTACACTGAACAAAAATCCATATACTATTGATCCTCCTTCTGTTCTAAGAAAGCTTGGATGTTTGATCTATAATGAATTATAACCAGAGTGGGCTAAACTAAAAAACAACCAAAACATTGGTATTAAAGAAAAATTCACACTACCAACAGTGAGATTCCCCTTTGCTACCTTCATTTTGTCTCTAAAAATGTTTGTAGTAAGATACTCTTAACAGGAATGAGAATGGCAGATCCCTTTAATGGAGAATATGGTCCCAAATGAAGTAACATATGCAAAGAAAAGGGAATCTCTGTCGGGTAACCTGTCAGTGAAAGCCCCTGGGAGGTAGAGCAGTTGTTGGTTAAGCAGCCACTTCCATCCTTAGCACCACATAAACTAGGTATGGTGGTCCATGGGTATAACCCCAGCAATCAGAAGGGCAGAGGAACAGAAGTTCAAGGTTACCCTTAGTTATAAAGAAATATACCATCAACTCAATTAAATTTAATTCCTCTCCTGCGTAGGTAAATCACTCTCCAGCAGTAATTAAAAACAGGAAAAAGGAACTGTTCTGGAGACCTCAAAAACAGCAGTTCAGTTTCTTGTCCTTGAGTCAGAGATGTACTTGGTTCCATCACAATTCTGTCCTCAATAGAGGCCTGAAACACCAAAAAGGTTCAGAGGCACTGGTTTGTGTTCTGGTTTCTGGTTATCATTCTTCTAGGTTTACATAGCAACCTAATGAGCACACTGCCTGGAAGCTAAGCATGATCAGGTGCTTCTCTGATCCTTGAAGCTGTGCCAAAATTCCAGTCTAGCCACTAGGATGCGAAGGTGTTAATGAATACCTTGTGTGTGGACAACTGGCCTGACAAGCTTACCTCCCAAGCCTCAACCCAGTGAGGCCTGATTAACTCCTAAACAGGGACTGTCAGTGGCAACCCTTTCTTGCTTCCTTTCTCTTAAGCTATCTTCTATAATAAAACTCCTTTCTAAAACTTCATCTTCTGTTGTTTGTGAAATTAATATTTGAGTTCACAACACAAAGGACAAAGAAGTCACTAACCTGGAGTAGCTTTAGTGGTGAGGGACCCTAGTCCCCTAAGTAATGTCACCTCAGTGAGAAAGGCCTCTTATATTTAAGGGTCTCCCCTCCCCTGCTTTTCTCCATTTCAAAAGGATATGCATCTTTTAAATATAATGGAAATGTCTACTGGGAAAAAAATGAACAGAAGGGTTGGAAAATGAATAAAATAAAGATGTGTTCATGGGAATAAAAAATATACTAGGATGTTGCAATGGCTAAGCAAGAAAGGTATGCAGTTATCTCAGGAGTAGATAAAACACACAAGCAGTAAAAAGAAAATTGGATTGAGTAATCAAAGAAATTTGAGTAATTAAAGGGTCAGCCCAGGAAGTTTAAAGGTTCACTGAGAGTTCTATGGAATAAAAATAATAAAAAAAAAGTAGAAAAATTTCCTAAGACTAAAACTTCTTATTATTATTATTATTCGGTTTTTAAGGATTTGCTAAATGCTGGCCAAGCGTAATAAAGCAAAATCCATGCTCAAAATGCACTTTTTGCATCAAAGCACATTTTCATGAACCTCTCCCTGCAACATACGAGTCCGTGGAGAAAATGTGAGAAAAGAGGATGAGGAGTTCCCAGACAGAATACGAGAGGTAAAGACAGAACATAGCTTATTTACTTTCTCGTTGATTCTAATTAAAAATGAAAACGCTTATGCTTTATTGCAGGAATCTCAATATTCCACTCCCTCTGGAAGCATTCACAAAATAGAGGATATAGGTAACACTTTACTTTTCTAGTCCTGAAAAAAAACCCTGAATTTTAAAATGGACAACATCTAAAGGATTTGAGTCAGACTATGAACCTTCATAAATGTTTCTGTAGGTACATTTATATAGATGTCTACAAAATTGCTACCATATTTATACAGCACTAATAAAAACATTTTTATGGTTGAATACTATTTGCCTAATAAATATTTCAAAATTTCCTTGTTCCAAGACATGTGGCTAATTTTCAGTTTTACATCCTATAAAATAACATGGAGGTGGACAGCTCTTCAGTAGTTTTATTTTATTCTGCTTTTTTGAGACATGAGTCACTAAGTTGCCCAGGTTGGCTTCAAATCCCTAGGATCAAGAAATTCTTTTACTTTACCCTCCTGAGAAGCTACACAGTTTATAAAAATTCTGAAAATAAAGTTACTGTGTCAGGGTTGGAGTGGCTCTGCCTCAGGAGGTAGAATCAGGAAGATGAGAAGTTCAATGTCATCCTTGGCTACATACAGAGGTAGAGGCCAGTCTATCTACAGGAGATTCTGTTTTTTATTTTAATACTGTTTCAAAAGATGTATATTTTACAAAACTTTCAAGATAAACAAGGATTCTACCTTCATGAAATATATGAAGCAAGGAAAAGACATATAAAACAAAGTAACTTAGAAAAATACATGATTACAAATAACACTGAATGATGAGGCTAAAAGGGGAGCTTGGCAGTGAATCATGCAGTAGAGACTCATGAAGTAACGCTGCAAAGCAAACATCAATGCTCAACACCTCAGCCCTTCTCATCAGCACTTGGTAGATAACCTGGTATATATAAGAGCACACCAAGAAAGCTCCAAAGGTGCCTGTCACCTGCAGGGACACGAGACTTACCTCCTCTCTGGGCACAATAAGCATAGCTGGGTCATGCTAACTGGGACATAGAATGATGCTGCAGACTCAAAGTCCAAAGCATTGCCAAGGAAGGTTTTGTGGAGTACGGTGGGGTAAGAGGGTGAGAAAAACAGAGAAAGTGAGGAGGTATCAGAGCCTGGGTTTCTCACTGTGAAGTACTGATGGCAGCACCCATCTGGTCAGAGTGCAGCATCAAACTACAGTGACATGTAGAGAAATAGTTCCTAAAATATCACCATCATCTTTTCTGACTTAAATTTTCTATTTCCTTTCCACTGTGGTATTTTTTTGAGAAAATTATAATTTTTAATTTTCAAGATAAGCAAATATGGTGCTTAGGGCAAAATGATTACTTCTCATAATCCCCAAAGATCTAGCAAATATTACTTCTTAATATCCTTACAGGTAACTTCTGGCCAATGAACAAGAAAGTCCCAAACAGTTATGGTGTTTTGCTCACTTGTTCAAGATGTTCAAGTGTTCATTTATATATTTTAAATATCACAATTTTCTTGAAAATTAATGCTGATTTTTTTAAATTATTTGAGATGATTGCAAAATTAACTGTCCACTACAATATAGCATTGCAGGGGGTTGGAATTGAACAATGACTGCGTCAGGTCTGGCCCCAACCTTGTTTCATAACTAATACTATAAAGGGATGGGCACCGAAATAAATCTGCGTAAGACAAGACTGTAGACTGATCCTGTAAGAGTGAACCACACAAGTTGAGTCTGGTGCTACAGGCCTTCAATGCCAGCTGCTTGAGAGACTGGTGCAGAAGTATATCAAGTTCAAAGCCTGCCTGGGCTAAAGGTCAAGGCAACCGAGGACAAATTAACAAAACCCTCTTATCCAAAAAACAAAACAAAATAAAAAACCAGAGGGCTGGGGGTATAGCCCAGTGTGAGCACATCTGCCTAGCAGAACAGCACAAACAACCCAAAGAAACATGGAAGACTTAAAATGGAAATTAATGTAATCTCTGCTTTTCTCCTTTTACAATTGTCCTGACTAGACAGAACTACACAACAGTGAAAAGTAAAATTGCTCACCAGTTAGTATTTTAGCAGTCTAAGGACAAACTAAGCACAACTTAGTTATGTGTGGTCACAGAAGAGCTGAAGAAAGCTCCATTTTGAAGGTCTAATTGATTTTGCTGATGATGATATTAAAGGACATCCCAGTACTCGGAAGATGGAGGCAGAAATATCAAAAGTTCAAGGTCAACCTCAGCTACATATTGAGCTTGAGGCTAGCCTGGCCTATGTGAAACTCTGTCTTGAAAACAAACAAGTCATCAGGCAGGACATGGTGGCTCATACCTAGTATACCAGCATAAGAGAAGTGGGGCAGGAGAACTGTCCATGCGTTGGAGGCTAGCCTGGGTGAAGTGAGGGAGTGTCCCCTGAGCCAAGAGCATCCAGCTGCACCTTCATGCAGAAAAGATCATCCAGCTGAGTTTGTTGATGACTGAGACCCCAGAATAAGGGCATGAGAAGGCAAAAGAGTCTCACATGAGTAGCCAGCTATTTCCTACCACCTACTGTACGCAACTCTACCTTAACTGCACATGATGTCAGAGAGGGGTAGTATATATAGGGCAAGGAAGACTGTATTCATCTATGTGGCTATGGCAAAGCCCCCTCCCTGCTGGGTAAAGGATTTTCAGGTGTGGCATTTTTTAGCAGCAGGAAGAGAAGCACCCACATCCCTTTAGTAATCCTTTACCTATGTTCTCTGCAAGGAAGCACAATAAACCCATTGGTTTCTAAAGAGTGAACTTTGGTGGAATTGTGTCTCCGTTTGTCATTGGGACTTTAAGAAAAGGGGTAGATGTTGCTTACATCTCTCCCTGGAAGGAATTTTAGTAACGCTGGGGTATAAATGAGTTTCTGGACAACCTGTATTACAGAGTAAGCCTTTCTGAAAACCCATGGAAAGGACTACAGAATGATACCAAAGTTTGAGACTTGCATTCTAGGCTGGATGTGATGGAATGGTGATTCTCAGCCTTCTTGAAGCTGTGACCCTTACATACAGTTCCTCATATTGTGGTGACGACCCCCAATCATAAAATTATTTAATTGCTATTTCATATCTGTAATTTTGTTATGAACTGTAATGTAATGTAATGCAGGATTATCTGATATGTGACTCCTCTGGAGTCGAGACTCACAAGCTGAGAACCACTGTGATAAAGTCCCTCACTAAGATGGAGAAGATAGATACTACAGACATAAATATGGGTATCTTGCGTACAGGGAAAAAAATGCCAAGAAAATAATACATATTTCTGGGGAATGTTATGTCCTATTGACATCTGTGATGATGAAATGAATTAGTTCCGCTGTGTGAGTATCTCCCCAGCAATGCCTATGTTCTGATATATCTGAAGGATGAGGTGAGATCAACTAGAGTTCAGGAGGTAGCTGCTGAATAAAAGACAAGTAGCAGGGCCAATCACAATGCTCCAAATGAGCTCTAAACTACCTTGACAAGTACAGGAAGAAAAGATGGTGCAGCATAAGACAAAATTTAACATATTTTACTAACCACGTACAAGCTACTCCTAGCAATGAAAACTATTGATATGTTTACCACCTAAGAGATAACTGGTTATTTGAACCAGCATCCTCAAAGCTGCAAAAGGGGAGAGAGAAACTATTAATGTTGACATGTTTTTTTCTTAAGCTTGAAACTATGAAAAATTTAAACCACTGTAATATTTCCAAGTAGAGGGGCTGGAGAGATGGCTCAGAGGTTAAGAACACTGGCTGCTTTTCCAGAGGTCCTGAGTTCAATTCCCAGCAACCACATGATGTCTCACAACCATCTACAATGAGATCTGGTGCCCTCTTCTGGCATGCAGGCATACATGGAGGCAGAACACTATACATAATAATAAAAAAAAATTTCCAAGTAGAATGAGAAAAAAGATCTTACCTCATGATTGTAATCCAAGATTCCTTTTAAAATTTTCTTTAAATTACTTATCTGTTTAGAGAGAGAGAGAAAAAATGGGTGAAAGGCAAGCACAGATCAGAGTACAGAGTAACATAAAAACTCAAGTGAATCACAGAGCAAGTGCAAGCTAAGTATTCCAGACCACAACTCTGAAGTCTCAAGTGGGCCAAACTCCAAAAACTTTTCAACAGCATGTTGGTACTTTAAACCATTTGGAGTTTGGAGCATTTCAGATTTCAGATCTTGAGATTAGGAATGTTCAACTGGTCAAGTTTATGCAACTTCTCTAAACAAACAAACAAACTCTAAATTTCCCCCAAAAATTTCTTCTGAAATCTGAAACACTTCTGGCTCAATTCCCATAATGGATATTTAAACTGTATGAAAAATAAAACTTAATAGGATATTTGAAGTAACAACATCAGAAAAAGACTATTGCTTAGTGATAACACTATGGGGAAATAAATAACCTAACAGATTATACAGACTATTGATAAACAAACGAAATAAATGTATTATTCTTAAAGACCTGACCTTAAATTTGTGCTATTTTCTCTAACTTAAGAGTATTAAACAGAAACTACTGCCAAAATTATCCTTGGAATTCTTTTTAAAAAATTAAAAATTAATTTGCACATATGCGTGTTTTGCTTGTATGTATGTTGGCTCCCCTGGAACTGGAGTTACACAGAGTTGTAATCTGCTGTGGAAGTCTGGGGATTGAACCTGGTCCTCTGGAAGAACAGCAGTGCTCTTCTTAACTGCTGCGCCATCTCCCCAGTCCCTTGTGGTCTTAATCAAGGAAATAATCTCCAAATTCTTCCATTGTCAAGAAAAGGCTGGTTTTTTGTTTGTTTGTTTGTTTGAGCTAAATACCAAACAAAGTAAATAATTATGACCCTGGCAGCACACGCCTTTAATCCCAGCACTCTGGAGGCAGAGGCAGGCAGGGATGTTCAAGGTCAGCCTGGTCTACAAAGTGAGTTCCAAGACAGCCTGGGGTAAACATAGAAACCCTGTCTCAACCCCCTCCCACAAAAAATTACTAGTGTATCCTGAAATACTAAAACAGACTAATATTAAGTATTGCAAAACACACCAGTGCTTTAAGGAGGACCACAGGTAAGATAAGAGGAAGAATTTCACGGTGTCTTAGGGTATTAACTCACTCCAGAACTTAAGTTCACAAGCTATTTTTATCTGAATAAAATGACAGGCAGATTAACTGCATTATTTGATTTAAAAACTCTTAAGTTCTCAGCTGCTTTTGACACTCCTCATACAGTTAAATTTGCATTGGATTAAATGTGCCATATCCTGTCAATCATCCTTGTGATCTGGTTGAATTTGTTCAATGTTAGTACTTAGTACATTAGTTACACCTCTTCCTTATATGAACTGTTTTGGATTTAGGATTGATGATGCTCAACCTGTAGCTGGGTACGTCCTAGAACAATACATCCTAGAACAAAAAGACAATACAGTTTGAGGCTAACAAATGAAAGAAGCTAAAATACTTAGTTGCAACCTCTGGTTTAAAACATTTTTACAAAGATTTCTTTTATGTGTATGAGTGTTCTGCTTACATGTAAATATGTATGAGCACCATGTGTGTGCCTGGTGTTCTCCAAAGTCAAAAAAGGTTACGGGATCTTCAGAATGGGAGTTACAGATGGCTTTGAGCTACATGTGAACTGCTGGTTCTGTAACCTAGGTCCTTGCAAGAGTAACAAGTGTAACAAGTGCTCCCCTACTAACTGCTGAGCAATCTCTGCGGCCCCTGAAAACACTTATTTTTTAAGAAAGAAATAAACTGAAAATTTGCTTATTTTTTAAAAACAATAAAACAAGCATGGTGTGCTTGCTTATATGCCTGCTAATCCTAGAGGTAAAGGCAGGAAACTGTGAACTCAAGGCAGATTCAGGCTGTACAGCAAACTATCCAAAAATAAAACAAAGCCAAAAAAAGACAGTATCATAAATAAACATTTTGTATTTCTGAAAAAATATATTTGGAAATGTATCATTTATTTCCTATTTGCTCTTCTAAGCTGTTAATTTGTCATACTTCCAACACCTGAAAGTGGAACACCTTAAAACTGATACAGTCATTTAAAATAGTGGTTTTCCCCATGGCAAAAAGTTACATTATTTTATTTTAACCAATGGCATATACAGTTGAAGAAGTGATTCTTAGAAAGGTTCTTGCACTTGTCATAGAGAGTAACTGGTAGAGCTGCAGTGTGAATACAGGCTCCCTGACTCCAAAATCCTGCCACTAATAGGCTTTACTGACTTACAGTACAGCATATCCTGGCAGGCAGTGTGTCAAGTTACTACTAATCTTCAATTCCATATTATTTTGCTATAGGCTTCCTAAATAACCTTCTAATCTTACTGGAAATATTAGATAAAACAAACAAGTATTATAAATGTGGTGGTTTGAAAGAAACGACCCTAGGGAGTGGCACGGTGAGGAGGTGTAGCCTTGTTGGAGGAAATGTGTCACTGTAGTGGTGGATACTGAGGTCTCCTTTGCTCAAACTATGCTTAGAGTTGCTTCCTGCTACCTGTTGATCAAGATGAAGCTACCTCTCCAGCACCATGTCCACTGGCATGCTGTCCTGCTTTCCGACATGGACTATGCCTCTGAAACTGAAAGCCAGCACCAACTGAATGTTTTCCTTTATGAGAGTTGCTCTGGTCATGGTGTCTCTTTACATCAATAGAAAACCTAAGTGAGCAATAGTAAACACCAACACAATATTTAAAGATAACAACAAAAAGAAATACCTTTAACCTCCAATTGTCTCCTACTTCAGTTTTGATTCTGTTTAGCCAATTATCATCGAAATATGCAGGATCTCTGCAAATAAAGAAAAGATGGATTAAGATAGTGTAGCTGTCACACTTATGAAACACCCAATCCCATCTCATGTCATCATTTAAGTGAGCCATAAAATATGTATATATGTATATGCCATATGCCAGCATTAAATAATCCATGAGATCAGATGTAACACACATTTTCTAAAATCATTTTGAGAATTTTGATAATAAATTAGGTATATAAGATATATTACAACATGGATATTAAAAAAACTAAAATACACATTGTTAATATATAGTTAGTATAGTCTAAAAGTGAGTTATAGTTGCGTAAACAGAACTAGAATTGTTAATAGCATAAAACTATCCAAAGCCAGTCAAAACCAATAACATGCATTTTTTTCTTTTTTAATTAAGGATCTTTTAAATACACTCTTTTCTCATTTTTCATAGCTATCCCCATTCCCACTCCTTCCCCTCCTCCCACCTCAATCTTCCCCCCACCCCACTCCCCCTCCACTCCTCAGAAAGGGTGAGACTTCTTATGGGGAGTCAACAAAGTCTGACACTTCACTTTGAGGCAAGACCAAGGCCCCACCCTCCATATCTAGGCTGAATAAGGAATCCCTCCAAAGAGGGATATAAAAGTTATAAACTAGATCTATCAAAATCATTTTGAACTTATATTTAAATTAACTTGTCTATTCATCTTTTTAAAATTTATTTTTCTTATTTGATAATGGGTGTGTGTATGTGAATGAGTGTGCACAAAGAGGTAAGAAAGGGCAGTAAATCACTTCAAGCTAGAGTTATAGGCAACTGTGAACCATCTGATATGGTGCTGGGAATTGTAGTCGGTCCTCTGGAAGAGCAGGAAGCTGAGTCATCTCTCCAGGCTCCTAATTCATCTGCTTTTTCTTTTTTAAACAGGGTCTCACTGTAGCCTTGGCTAGCCTGGAACTCTGAATGCAGGCCAGGCTATCCTCTAACTTAGAGAGATCCACCTGCCTCTGCCTCTCGAGTGCTGGGATTAAAACCATGCACCACAACACCCGGCCATTTATCCACTTTTAAAAACTAGTCAAGAAACAGTTCACATATTATATATTTATTCATTTAGATTACATGAATCACTTCAGAATGCAATACCGACAGAATTGCACAATCATCACCATATGTTAAAGCTTCAGTGTCGTCATAGAAAAGGAAGCTTAGTGATGGAGATGGCTCAGTGGGTAAAAGTGTCTGCTGTACAGCAGTGATGGCCTGCGTTTGGATCCCCAGTTCCCACATAAAAGCCAGGAGCAGAGGCATGTGTCTAACCCAAGCATCTAGGGAGCAGGGTCCATGGGGGAAGGGGTTTGATGTGGTGGGAGGATGGAGACAGGTGAATCCCTTGATTGAAACGGTAAGCTTCAGAATAAAATATTATCAGACTCCCTGTCTCAAAAACCAAGGTATAAAAGTTATCAAGGTCTGACATCCAATGTCAACCTTTAGATGATATCTATCTGTACATTAAGAGAAAGAACGAAAAGGAGAAAATAAGATACACCTTTTACCTATTAGCTGTCTTTGTCATTTTTTTATTTTTCTACTTCTGGAATTACTAATTTCTTTGTTCTTTGCCCTGAACATTTTAATGAGCAAAACAGTAAACCATATGACCATTTATGTCCGACTTCTCTCAAGTATGAGTCTAAGGTTTTCCTGTAATGTAACATGTATCAAGATTTGACTTCTTTATGGATATACATACATACATACATGCATACATGCATACATGCATACATACATACACCTGGCTAAGCACCACATAATATGTCCATCCACAGTCAACTACAATATTGGTATGGTCTATTTTGTTTATACAGATGCATTTCTTACAAACCATCTCTATGATAAGTGACTACTACAGTGTGGTTGCCCACTCTTTTAAACTAAAAAAAGATAAATATTTGGATTGTGTTTACTCGGAGCTATGATCAATAATGATCCAGTCATGTTCCAGCTTTCCTATGGACATGGTTCATTTGGGGTGGAATTGCTGGGTCACATAACTCTGTTTAACATAAAGCTTGTCTGTGATGATTCATGACTTCTTTTCACTTTAAAAACTGTGTGTGTGTGTGTGTGTGTGTGTGTGTGTGCACATGCAGGTGTCCATGGAGACCAGAGGAGGGAACTGGATCCTCAGGTGCTGGATGCAGTTTTACACTGCAAACATGAGCTTTAGGAACTGAACCCTGGTCCTCCACAAGCACAGCAAGCACTGTTGACCAAGGAGCCATCCCGCTAGTCACCATTTCATTTTCTTTTTAAATTTATTTTTTATTATGGGGGGGTGTCCTCTTTCCCTCTCAGCACCATGAGCATGAATAGAGAGAGGCCTCCAGGAGACAGAATTCAGTGAATCAGCTCAACTTTATTCCAAAGTATAAGGAATATCTAGGATTGGGGAGCCTGGGGACAAATTTGCATTAAATGGCACGCTCCTATCACAAGGCTCCTAGCAAAAGTCTTAGTTATCATATGTGCACCAAGGGAGACTTTTAGCAGAGATCTATGTCAGGTTTCAAGCTAAAGATAAGTCAGGAATCTGGTGTAGAGACAGGCATCTGGTTTAGATAAGGTCAGTCCTTCATGTCCAGGGACAGTCTCTGGATAAGGTCAGGTAGAGGCAGGAAGTTCTGCTGGAGAGAGGGAGCCCTATGCTGCCAAGCTACTGAGACAAGCTGCCAGGCCAAGGGGAGACTGCAACCTTTACTAGTCAGCAGAAATCTTCCAGCATTTTATGGATATGAACATTTGCCTCAATTACGTAAGTGTACCATGAGGATACCTGGTGTCTTGAGAAGCTAGAAGATATTAAATCCCCTGGATCTGGGGTTACAGACGGCTTTGAGCCATCATGTAGGTTCTGGGAACTGAAACCCCCCAGGTACTCTGCAAGAGCAATGAACGCTCTTAATCCTTATGTCACTTCTCCAGCCCTTTCTTTTCACTTTCTTGATGGCATATTGTATATACAAAGGTTGTTAAGACTGATGGTGAAGTTCAATTTATCTAGCTTGTACTTATGACATTTTTTATCTAGGACATTTCTGCCAAGGTCACAAAGACTTATTCCTTTTTGTAGTTTTACCTCTTGTACCCGGGTCTCTGATCCACTTCTATAAAGCAGAAGAGAGCTAACTTCATTAACTGGAATGTGGACATTGACACTCCTCTGTTCTTCCTTTAAGTGTAAGTTAGTGTTAGTGTTTCTAGGCAAATTTTTCTACATCAAGAGAAAACAGTTTAGGTAATCTGATGTAAAAAAAAAAAAGAGGTGTGCATTAGTACTTAAAGGATGACTGGGCCTCACAAATACTGGACTAACAATCTAGACTGTTTTTCTTATACATTTTTTTCCATCTACACCATTTTATCTCTGTGAACCAGCCTCTTCCTGTTTCTCCCAATACAAAGCTGGAAATGACTATAGATATGTTTTAAGTCTTTATAATTTCTAATTAAGACTGGCTGTTACTGACTCATAAAAGCCCAGCAAGCTGCAGCCAAAGTCTATTTTCATCCTTGATCCTATTACATGTGGTTAAAAAGAGAAATGGCCGCAAGTAGGACATAAACATCACTGGAGAAAGCAGCATAGCACCTGTCAGAGAGAAGTGAGCTCTCAGAAAAGTAAACTTCCAAGAACTGGGTAGGCATGTCCCTGCTGCAAACATTCTCCAAGAACTGGGTAGGCATGTCCCTGCTGCAAGCATTCTCCAAGAACTGGGTAGGCATGTCCCTGCTGCAAGCATTCTCCAAGAACTGGGTAGGCATGTCCCTGCTGCAAGCATTCTCCAAGAACTGGGTAGGCATGTCCCTGCTGCAAGCATTCTCCAAGAACTGGGTAGACATGTCCCTGCTGCTAGCATTCTCTTTGCTTAAAATCTCTTAGAAAACAGACAATGCAAAGAAAATGGGGATTCTAGTATAAGAGCAAAAAATTATTATAAAGATCAATTCAGATGTTAGAAAAAAATTAAATATTATTTTTGACAGTTAAATCACCTGAAAGTTATGATTATTGGCAGTAAAGTATTAATCTTTCATAGTCTGATGCTACGTGGTTGACTGCTAAAAGTCATAGGCACCGAACCAGAAAGTCCCTTTTAAAATGCTTTAAAACACTGTCTGGTTTAAAGTAGTCTCCAAAAAGATTTGTGCGATGGCTTGGCCCCCAGTTTGTGGTACTATAAATAGGTAATTATATCATCAGGGTGCTGAATTTATCAATGAATTATGGAGTATGAGGAGGGACTGATAAAAGAATGCAGATCACTGGAGGCAAGTTTTTGAAGAGTACACTTCCTCTTTGGGTCTTTCTGCTTCCTGGCATGCTCACTGTGACATCAACATAAGATCACCCATATCCTCCTGCAGCCACAGTATTTTTCCTTACTGCAGGTTTATAGTAGGAATGAGCAGACCATGACTAAAAACCTCTGAAAATGTGAGTCAAAATAAAGTCTTCTTTTTATTTTACTTATTCATTCACTGATTGATTCAGGTTTTCTTTTTGAGACAAGGTCTCATGTAGCTCAGGATGGCTTCAAATTCATTTATTTTGGAGCTTGAGCCCAGCCTTGAACATCTGATCCTCCCATTTCTGCCTCCTAAATACTGCAACTGTGCTGGGATTAAATGCCCAACCCCCAACCCATGTTGGAAGTCAAACCCAGGACCTTGTGTATGCTAGGCAAGTACTTTACCACTGAACTCTATTATATATCAACCCCTCCTCCATTAAAATTGTTTCTCACAGCAACCAACAGAAACCTAACTTGAAAGTGTTACAGGTAAGAACCCAGAAACAATTTCCCCAAGTTCAGAAGCTGTTAAGTAGCAGAGTTAAAACACAAACTTTTTGTTAAAGCAAATAAGCAGAGCTCAACACAAATGATTCTAGCAAACACTAAACTTCAGTGGCTAATCATCTCACTAAACTGTTAGAAGTGGAAAAAAAGAAAAACATCATTCATGGTC